AAACATCATGGCTCAGTCCCGCCAGAATCATGAGTTAAGTTTAAGAATCATGAACCCTTAAAGCAATACATTTGCAGGGTTAGAGGTTTTTTGCCTTCTGAGCTTTCAGGGGTCATATTTTCAAATTTTACTCCCAAGTCAGGAAGGCTGGAAATGTTTTTTTTTTTTTTTTTTTTTTTTTTTTTTAAAAGAGAGATTCTCATACAACCATTGGACTCCCAGGGCACCAGTTAGTAAGAGGTTCAAAAATCATCAGAGGTACCTACACGCGGACAGCTACATCCCTGCCCCTCCCAGTAGACAGTCCGTATGGAACTCAGCAAAGTAACCACCAGGGACAGTGGGAACGGGGGCTGTAAAGAGATGGAGAACCTCAGGGAGAGCTCATGGGATAAGCAGCCCGGGAGCTTAGAGCTGTGTGTGTCACTTCAGAGAGTCATTCAAATCCCATAGATGCGGGGCTATGGCTAGGACCCCTTGAATTACAAGGGAAGAGGTGGATTCTTCATCTCGGAGTCTTCAGACCAAAGCTGGAAGATATGCTTAGGTCAGATAAGGTAGTGGGATCAATAGAGGGGAATGCAGGTGAAATTTAATGGGGCTTGTGATATACAGGAAGTCAGATGAGATACTCTAATGGTCCCTTCTGGCCTTGAACTATGAAGCTATTAAAAGATTAGTGCAGGAATCACTGTGGGGGGAATTTCTGGCCTGTGTCATGCACAGACTAGATGATCATAACAAACCTTCCTGGTCTTAAAATTCATCTCTCTCTCTCTCTGCTCTACAGACGGCATCCACAGAGAAAGCTGGGAGAGAGGAGACAGTACGATTGTAGAAGACGCCAAAACATTTTTACAAGCAGCAGCTAATACCTACAGCTCTAATCCCTGTCACCTCTCGGCCACCTCTGGTGGGGAGCGGAGCAGTTGTTTAGCAGCACACAGTAATTCTATGAGCCAGTTAGGGCAGAAAGAAGAGGACACTTCTGCCCATGGTTAAACGCGCTGAACTCAAGTTTGGGGAGCACTTTGCTCCTGGGCACTTTGGAAAATCTGCCCTGAGTTGTGGGGGCTGAGGCCCAGAGCCTCAAAAGCTATTTAGGCAACAAATTCCCATTGATTTCAAGGGGAGCCTAAAATACCTCTGAGGATCTGGGCCCAAGAGCCATTGAAAAATCTGACCCTGAGCCCTATGTAGGCAGCTAAGATCTGAAAAGCATTGTCAGAATCAGACCTTACAGCACATGCTTCTCTTTGCCTCTCCGGTGTGCTAACAGTCCTGCCGGGTTACTGGGCCTTTTAAAGAAAAGTCCTTCCTGGTTTCAGAGTAGCAGCCATGTTAGTCTGTATCAGCAAAGAGAACAGGAGTACTTGTGGCACCTTAGAGACAAACATATTTATTTGAGCATAAGCTTTTGTGGGCTAAAACCCACTTCATCGGATGCATCCTTCCCAGGTTTTTTTTCCTCTGACGGCAAGAAGGCTTTGGGACGTATGGTAGGGGATCCTTGCAGCCGGATCTGTGGTTAGCCAGATAGCAGGTCTTCTCTCCTTATGAGCTGAGCTGCAGAGGTCTATGCATCTCTGCTCCTGCTGACCCAATTTGAATTTGATGGTGGGGGGTGCTCCACACCTTGGACAATGAGGCCTGGCTAGATTTTCATTTTATCAATAGGAGAATGAAGACCACAGCTGCTACTGTAATAGTCAATTCCCTAAGGGTTTCTGATTCAGAATGTTTCCCACGCATATGCCACTGAATCGTCTGCACCCTGAAGTATCCAGGACTAACATGTAGCATCCAGGGGTACCAAGGAGCTAAGATCAGTCAGGGGGAGGGATAGCTCAGTGGTTTGAGCATTAGCCTGCTAAACCCCGGGTTGTGAGTTCAATCCCTGACGGGACCATTTAGGGATCTGGGGCAAAGATTGGGGATTAGCCCTGCTTTGAGCAGGGGGTTGGACTAGGTGACCTCCTGAGGTCCCTTCCAACCCTGATATTCTATGATTCTAAGGAGAGAATGAGCAGCCCACAGAATGCATGCCCCTGCCTCTCCCATCAGCACAACTTCCCTGCTGTGTCTGGCAGAGCAAGAGCTGGGCATAACAAGGGAACCGTTTTCCTTGGGGCCCCATGCCAGGGGTAAATTCCACAGCCGCAGAATCAGAATGAGTGGCACCCAGAATATGATTTGTGAGGTCATTAACCACAATGTAGCTGTGTCAGAGAGTAGGGACGCTCGCAGATGAAGGGGAATCATTGCTACAATACCTTCTAATGAATTAGCTGCCATTTGGTTTAACATAAAACCATAAGAACTGCCAGACTGCATCAGACCCATGGTCCAATAGTCCAGTATCCCATCTCTGATAGCAGCCAGCATCACATTCTTCAGAACCAGGTATAACCTCCATAGCTGACAATTATGAAATAGCTTACCCAGAGGGAAATCCTCTTCCTAGCTACATTAGTAAAAGACGGGTTTATGTATGCCCTTAAGCAAGAAGTCTCATGCTTGTTTGAATCCTGCATACTGGGCCTCAGTGCAATTTTTGTGGCAATGAGTTCCACAGATTAACTGTGCATTTTGTACAGAAGTCTTTTCTTTCATCTGCTACACTTAGATACCTGGTGAAATTTTAAGTGGGTATGATTATTCCATTCTCTTCATTTTTGTATCTTTAAAAGAGAGTTATTTAGTTAAACATTTTTTGGTAGCTGTTCATCATCTACAGTGATATAGCAGCAGCAGTCACTTTCCAAGCACCCCTTTATGGACAGCGGTAGTTCTGTAGTAGCTTACCTCAGTTTCCCTTCTTTTAAGGCTCTACAGGCTTCTCTCTGTGCAAACACCCCTCCCTAGAGTTGATGTTATTAATATAACCAGAACTCAGTGTCCCAAAATAAAGTCCACAGACTAATTCAGTTTTCTGCTTTTAGCAGGCCACTTCCTACCCTACCTAGCTAGAATCTTATTTCTCCTGGTGTCTCAAACCCTTTTATAACCTTCTAACTCACTATTGCAGCTTCCGCCTTTATAGGGCCCAGGTGTCTTCCCTTAAGCCCAGCTGAGCAGCAGGTAATCAATCACAGGTGCACTGGATCCCCTCTGCACCTTCTTAAAGGAGCCAGCCACACTGTGATATGTGTTAAGAATTGCAAATAACATACAGATGATAAACTGCGTCACTCTTAGCTATGGAACAGGTACGCTTTTGCTCTCTGTGTAACAAACTTTGCAGTTTCTAAATCTACTCCTTGCATGCAGAATTGGCAGCCATTTTGTTTTCCCAGCTCAATATAGTCAGAGAAGGCACACTGTGTTCTCTAAGTTATAGCGGAGACTTTACCCTTGTTCTTTCTCTTGGGGGCTGCTGTTCTCCATCTAAAGTAAAGGCCATTCTGGCTGAAAAGCCTCTCTCTGAATTGTGTGGTTGGCAAAACGCAAGATACATTTGTAGCCGTTGCTTTCAAAATTAATTAAAATACATGAATTGAAAAATCAGAGTTGGGCCGGTTAATAAGAGCATGCCAGACAGCCGGGTTTGTTCACTAAACTGCAACGGGTAAGCTTTAGTCACTGCTACATTAAAGCTCGAATCAATCTAAAACGCGTCGTTTAAATAGCCCCTGACCTTTGGAAAGTTCACCACCCGATCACAGCTTTTCAGGGCCTATCTCTGTGCCACAGATGATAACATATTTTAGCTGATTTCATGCTCCCTGGCTGTGTTTGCATCCTGTGTAACGGGACTTGCAGGAGAGAGATCTGCCCTGTGTCATGAGGCAGTCTCCAGCAGAACATGCCCAAGCATATTCTCTCTTCGAACAGGCCAGCCTGAAATCTGCAGATCTAGGAACTCTGCATTGTGGCAGGGGTTAAATCCATCAACAGGCTGCACACTGAAGACCTGATTTTCAGAAGGGTGGAGCACCCACAGCTCCCCCTGATTTCAGCTGTCTCGGTGGGGGCCGAGCATCCTGAAAACAGGCGATTAGATGGATGCTTTAACACGTACCTATATTTCTGATCCAAAAGAGACCACACAATAGGTGTTAATTGCTGCTGGCCTCTGTTGTAGCTGCACCGCTGAAAGCCACCAATGTAGACAGTGCCTGGGTGTGAAAACTAAGTTGCCCCAGTGAGTTCACCCTGCATTTACGTGAGGGGTTCGCAGTGAAGAGCCTAATTTCCATGTATTGTAATGGGAGTTAGGAGCCTCCAGACCCTTGAGGATCTGGGCCATGGAGGGGTAGCTGCTTTCTGGCTCTGCTCGGAAGCAGCAGCTACGGTAGTCACTGCTAAAAGTAGGGGATTGAACTAAGTGGACCCAGGGTCTGCCCTTGTATGGAAATCCCGTCCCAGGAATCAATTTTCAACCCCCTAGAGCCAAACAAGTGAAGCCCCAGGGCTATCAGTGGGCAGCACTATGGTGGCTAAGAGCAAAGGCTGGCCCGAAGTTCTTACCATGAACTATAAAGACGGTGGAGCTGAAATCAGGAATGAGGGGCAACCAGCCTTCGGGGACAGGGGTAACAAACCCTATGGCCAGATTTACCGGAGGGGTGACTAGTAGCAGAGGCGGGGCTTGTCGGGCAGCTCACCTGTAATCCTGTGGCTTGGAAGAGCCTGTGGTACAGATACACTGGCTGGCCTAGGGGGCTGGCAAGGGGATCCGGACCCTCGCTTCTAGGGCAGCAGCGCCTTTCAGCCCAGGGCAGCGGCTGCTAATGGCACCTGATCCGAGCGGTCCAGGCGCTTCTCCCGCGGCCCTGGGCGCAGAGCTCGGGGCGGGCCGGGCCGCGGGGGGTTAATTCCGCCCCCAGCGGAGCGGGTCGCCGCCAGGCTCCCTCCAGCCCGGGGCTAAGGAGCCGGCCGGCAGAGCCCAGCGCGGGGCAGCGCCGCGGGAGTCCCTCGCTGAGCGGAGCAGGTGGGGAGGGCCGGGGGCGGAGCGCTCCGCCCGGCTATATACGGGCTGGCAGCCGGGCGCGGCGCTCAGAGCCGCTGCCGGAGGTTTGCAGAGACGCAGCAGCAGCGGGCAGAGTCCAGGCTGGGCTGGGCTGGGCTGGGAGGCGGTGACTGGATGCGAGGTGAGACGGGCTGGGGGATCGGGGCGTGTCTTTGTCCCGTGTCCTTTGGGGCGGGTCCGTGCATCCCCTTATCCGCCGGGTATCTGTCCCCGAGTCTCCTCGCCCCCCTCTGCAGCGTGGATTCGCGCACGATCTGTGACAACCCCCTCGCTGGGGACCCGAACTCCGGGCCGATGGGCGAGGAGGCGTCTGCACGGCTCCTTGGCCCCAGGTACCGGGGGTCCCACCCCACTTCGCGACACCTGCGCGGGCTCTTCCCCTTAGCTGAAGGGGCGTCGGAGGGGCCCCCACTCTGGAGTGCCCTAGGCGAAGCCCAGCCGACCGGGAGCCTACTGCTGTCCCGCACCGATCGGGGTCACCGGGGGGCTTCCCGAGAAGCGAGGCAGGAGTCGAGACCCCGCTTCCCCCTTGGTCAGGGGCTCCCGGTGTCTCCCTCCCGGCTGCTGGTGGGGATTTCTTCCTCCTACATCCCAAGCTGCTCTGGCTCTATCGGTTTCGCTTGCTGGGGAGCCTCCCACTCCCTTCCCGGCGCCCCCGGCCGCCGGCCTCCTGCTGACCCGCACCGATCGGTGAGCTGGTCACCCTCACGGAGGATGCGAAGATCCCGGAGCAGTGCCCTTAACGCGCCGTAGGGCTGGGAACAGGGGCAGTATCTGCACTGGAAGGGCTGGGATACCCAATGACCCCTTAGGGCTGGAACTGGGGGGCGCCCCTTGCTGGGGGGACCCCCCACCACCACGGCCACTAGCCCTGCCAGGCCGGTCTGGGAGCGCACAGGCGCCGGGAGCGTCGCCTTTGCGGTGCTGGCTGTCATTTGGGTTTACACGTCTCCTTCCGAAGCGCAGCGAGGTGAAGCCTAGGGGATGGGGCGAGTGTGGCGTATGTTGGATTAGACCCTCGGGCCATATGGCCACGGATGACGGCGGCAAGAGGCGACCGATCTGCCCAGCAACCCCCCCCCGCCCCAGCCCGCCGGGGAAACGTTTCGTTTTCGGGGCTGCGGGAGCCTCGCAGCCGGAGGGGGCTGTGAGAGCCGCGGGCCCGGGGCCAGGGCCGGCTGCCGTGGGTGTCAGGAGCAGGCGAGCTGCGGGCGGGCGATTGGCCGCGGTGCCATGGCGTGGGACACTAAAACACATGACGCCAGCTGGTAGGAACGCCCGGCCTTCGCCAGGCTCGACAGCGGGGGGCGCTGCGGAGCCGGCCGCCCGGGCCGGCCGGTGGGGCGGGGAGCTGCCCGGGCATGTCTGGGCGGCCGGCGGCTCGCAATAGTCACACGGTCGCCGTGATGCAAGGGACCGGCCCCATTGCACGGGCTCGCGAGTCCTTGCCAAGCGCACGTCGGGCCGGGACTTCCCTGAAGCTCTGGTCTAAACACGTCCAGGAAGAGCCATGCGAGGACCCACCGGGGCCAAGCCACTCCCAGGCCGGCTGGAGGGCTGCGTCAGCACCGCCCCCATCGGGGACTGCCTCGCTCCGCTGGAACTCGATGTCCCCCGGGCACTTCCGAGGAACAGAAGGATCAGGCTGATAAGAGCTGGGCGAGTCTGTGCTGGCCACTGGCTGCTGCAGAGCCCGACAGGACAGCAGCAGAAGCCGCCCAGATAGCGGTAGGGCTGGCCAAGTTGTCCTCCGCTCAGCCCCGCCGCTGAGCTGCCGTCCTGTTTGCATGTGGACAGCACTCTTGCAGCTGAAGTGCTCGCTCCTCCCTGCAGGCTTGTTCCACCGCCGGCAAGGATCCCTGTGGGTCCGGCAGAAACTAAAAGAACCTTGCGGTAGGGTCCAGCCAGTGTAACCGGCTGAAAGGCGCAAATGCTGTTTGTGGATTGAGCGCCTGTGTCTAAAGGGATATTTCACAATTTTATTCATTCCCCGCTGTACTCATCGGCCCCTTGGGCTGGTCCAAGATGATGTAATCTCAGCCTCCCCTAGACATGTCACTCTGCATGTCCCAGGATGTGTCATTTTGGCGGGCTCTTCGCTAGGTTTCACTCTGATTGCAAATAATCCCTCACTCTGCCTCTGGTATGAACAAGAAATAGAAGCTCCAGGAGGCTACTGCAGTGAGGGGTGGGTAGATGTTTATTCGTGGGTGACAAACCCCCCCTGGTGGACAAAGTGGTACACTGTTAATAAACTGAACACTTGCATGTCTGGTGTAAAAAGCTGGCAGTTATCGCTGGAAGTGGCTATTCAGGTAAAGCTACTTTAATTTATCAGGTTAAGATGGTTGACGAGAGCAATAGAGCCATGAAGCTCACAAGTAAGGCAAGTGAAGCCTGCAAGTCACCCAGAATAGTTCCACTTCCTCCCTCTCCAGACATGCCTTGCCTAGAAACTGCAATATTAATGAGACCAAGCCTCAGATCGTTCTAGAGATCTGCAGTAAATGGGCTGCAGACAGATGGACTTTAAAACTTGTTTCCTTGCTGCTGTTCTTTTTGCCCATAGAATTTCCTTTCGCAACATGGGTGTATGGGAAGGAAGGGGCTGCACTGAGCCCAAAAATCCTGCTGTCAAGTTCACTCGCTTCCAGGATCTCCTCTCTGCTGTCTCTCTCGAAACCAAAATCCTGCTGTGGCTGAAGATTTGGATGTTTAGCTTGAACATACAGAGCGCTCTTCAAAGGATCCCCAAAATGCATCCGATGAAGTGAGCTGTAGCTCACAAAAGCTTATGCTCAAATAAATTAGTCTCTAAGGTGCCACAAGTACTCCTTTTCTTTTTGCGAATACAGACTAACAAAGCTGCTACTCTGAAACCTGTCAAAATCTTACTGTAATTAAACCTCCCCCTATACTCCTTGTGCCAGGCCAGTCTCTCGTGTCACTTTGGGACATGTAAGACTTGCCAAGGTCATGCAGCAGGCTCTCTGCACTCTGAGTGCAATTGACTTGATCACTGCACCCAACTTAATTTCCTATTGAGATCCTGCCACCTGTAAGAAACTGGCTTAGGGAAGCAATGACTCCTGTCACTGGCTCGGCTCACCCTGAACCCTCTAAGAAACAAGTTGCCTTTTGCTTACCTGAAGCACTTGCCTAGAGCTGCGTAGTTGTTCAGCACTGCCCTGGCACCCACTGGTGACCACAAACCTTGCCCTGTATCAGCTGCTTGTTCAAGTCTGCAGGGTTCTGTAGCAGAATTTAATGGGACTTGCAAGAAAGCTTCATTGTATGACAGGAAATGAAAATGACTTCAATGGTTCTTCAAGTCATCAAACTGACTATTCAGGAAATTAAAAGTAAAGACCAGCCCTGTGTCGTCCGTACTCAGCAGCTTCCAACACACACAATCAGAAGCAGAGGATGAAGCATTAGTCTTAATGAGAGGTTGTGCAGTTTTGTGGCACACTGATCCTGTGAAGTGCTGAGTAGCTGCAGGCTTGTCTGATGTAGCACTTCAGTGTAGATACTACCTACGCTGATGGGAGAGGCTCTTCCCGAGAGGCCGTAGCTTGGTAGATGGAAGAATTCTCCTGTTGACCTAGCGCTGTCTATATGAGGACTTAGGTGTGTTTAACTACACTGCTCAGGGGTGTGGATTTTTCACATCCCTGACTGATGCAGTTAAACCGACCTCACTTTCTACTGTAGACCAGGCTTTAGACTCCGGTTTAAGTTTTAGTGGTAGGTGTTGAGAATGCTCAGTATCTCTCAGGAGTGGGTATTCTTGCATTCTAATGGGTGTGGGTGTTTGCTTTCAGATGCAGCAGCCAGTTGAAACTTGTTACCTGCCAGGGCTTGTTTGGACATGTTGGAACTTGACTGACTCACAATGATGTCATTCCACTGAACTGTTTACAAGGGTGTGAACTGTCAGGCGATATGAAGGTTGAGTTCTATTTTTAATCTCTTAGCCTCTTCCTCTCTGGGTGAAAAGGCAAGAACAGGACAAGCTGGATCAATAGAATATTATAGTCACTGAGGCCATTAAAGGTTAAGGTTCAAGATATACAAGCCAAATGTGGCCTTTAGCCTCTGTGGTGCCTAAATGTCTTCCAGACTAATAGCATAAAGGCTGAATTGTTGCTGCCAAAGGACAGTGTGAGGGCCGAGATGAGCAAACAGTTCACGGCTAATTAAAGCGGTGAAAATAACTTTTTTCCCCCTTGCATTACTGGAATCAAATTCATTTTGAGTTGAACGCAAAACATTGTTGGTTTTTTGTTGGCATATAACAGTAAAGAGAACCTCAAACTCGGTGTTCAGATTTTCATAATCCTTTTTTCAAACTATTTATTAAAATTGTCAAATTCCTGAATTGTTTTGGTTGATGCAAATCTGCATTATTATTTATTTAAAAAAAATTTTTTTTTTCTGGCATAAAGCTTTGGTGAAAATTTTGCCCCGTTTGACTGCAAATAACTTACTTGGCTCTAGCTTTCTGCTCATGGGCCTATTGTGACTGCCCTCTGTCCATTGTGGGGTGGATGTTTTGTACTGAGCATCCTCTGTTCCTGCTGCAGTCAGTAGAAGCTTCCCATCAGACTCTATGGGAATAAATTCATGGTCTCAAACTTGGATGAATGCTTTTTAAAATATCACTGTGCCCTTTAAAACAAGTCTCCTTATATAATTACAAGCTGAAAAGGGATTCCTTTATAATCCTGCATGTCCACATCAGCGGGAGGGTGGGAGGTTAGAACCCTTTTGGGATTTTCATTAGCAGTTGGCAACTTTCTTTACCACTTAGGTGCATCTGCTGTTTATAGACCTCAAGTGTGGCTGCTCTTTGCCTCCATCTGCAAAGCAGGGTCTTTATCGATGGTTATCCAAGAGGTTTACCGATAAGGGATTATCAAAATGGACAAGCTTGTAATTTGTTCTGTGCAGCTTGTTCAAAGCATAGTTCCTTGCTGCTATGTTCTACTACTTGGATTTAAGAAATTCACCTAATATTTCCTGTTGGCTTTGCCATCTGCTCACACATGAATCTGTCTCATGCAAACTTGAATTCAGATCCAATTCTGATTTTAAATATCCTCCAAGTTGAGATCCAGTCTTGTTGTAGCAGTGTCAGTCCCAGGGTATTAGAGATAGAAGGTGGGTGAGGTAATATCTCTTATTGGACCACAGGGCTGACAGCAGGGTTTGAACCTAGGACTTTGAGCACTAGATGGATCAGCCCTTACCACTTGAGCTCAAGGATTAAGTCCTATAGCTGGGAAACTGTAGCAGATTCAACCCTCATGTAAACCAGACACTAGAGGGAGACAAGTGCTTGGCCCTTGCATGGATTATATTAGCCAATGATTGCTCAGCGCTGCATGCCGGGTGTGGTCCCAGGAGATGCCTGACCCCATAGACCTCTGTGATCATTTACTAATTCACTTAGTAGCCTAACTTTGATCACTTGCGCTGCAGCTCAGTAACCATATGTTGCTCATTTTCCTTCCAGCTGGAAACATGCCTCTGTCACAGAGTAACATGCATCAGGCCCCCTGCAACAGGAAGATCTGCCGAAACCTCTTTGGCCCGGTGGATCATGAGCAGCTCCAGAATGACTTACAGGACTTGATGAGGAGACATCTGGAAGAAGCTCAACACAGGTGGAATTTTGACTTTGAGACAGAAACACCGCTGGAAGGCAAGCTCAAGTGGGAGAGAGTCCTCTATCCTGACATGTCTCCTGCTTGCCTGCCTTCTGAGGACCCGAGCCACTCCAAAGGGAATGATGGGGAGAAGAACCAGAGCTCTCCAGCACGTAAGATTTCTACAAAGGATCTTAACGTGGCCCTCTCAAGTGAAGCAGTACAGACGGGCTCTGAGTCCCGCAAGACCAGCCCCCCACGGCACCTGAAACGCAAGCAGACCAGCATAAAAGGTAAGTACGAATGCTTGTCCTGCCCCTAGTTCACAAGTACCCCCAATGGCTACCAGAGCAAGAGATAGAATGTCAGTGGCAGCTTGACCAGTCCAGTCGGATCTGTGGGGTGGCACAGGGCACCTAGCGTCAGTTCACCTGTTCGCACTACAGCATTGCCTTGAGGCTCCAGCTGAGATCAGGATCTCCCGGCAGTAGGTGTAAAGAAAGCAGCTAATGTTGTAAGAGGCAATCTCTACCCTGGAGAGTTTACAGTGCGGCGGGAAGGCCAGTATTCTCTGCTTGCTACATCTGGGGAAAGGAATCTCAAATGACATCACACGGGGTGGCTGGCAGAGCTGGGAATCCAAATCCAATTTCCTAGATCTCAGGTCAATAAATCACAAGACTGGAGCAGATGATAAAAATCAAACCAGCAGCCCATAGCCATTCAACCAGATAGCCGAAGGGAACTTGTTAAAACTCTGCACAGATGGGCCTTTTCTCACTATCAGCCAGACAATCTGAAGCATGACTCCGGATTACTCTTGCCAAAACAAATACAGATGCTTATTGCTCATAAAGCTCCTCCAGCCACAGTTTATTGGAAGGGCTCATTTGCCCTCTCACTTGAGAGCACGCTCAGTAGTCTTCTTTCTCCCTCCAGATTTCTACAGTTCGAAGCGGAGGATTGTCCCTTGCAAGCCAAATCCATGATGCTACAGCACAAGTTGTTCTGCTTCTGTGTGCCTCTTGGCTGGGGCACAGTCATCAGGATGTGTCTTCAACTACTAACCCTACTGGTCCTCTGCAGTCCTCTAGGAAGACCGTTTCTATTGAAGTCTGTGGAAGGGTTGCCTTAGGGGCTGAATGAAGTCTGTGTAAGGACTTAGCGGCAGGAAGACTTAGTTAGAGGCCTCCCTCTGCATTGTACTGTATGCTGCCTACTGGATCTGTCTATTATGAAGTGATGTAGAGTTTAGTGTCGTATTTATGAATAGGGCTAGGTGTCTATGGACCCACTTGTGTGCAATGTGTATTGTGAAGGCTTTATTTAAAATAGATGTGGAATATTTGATTACCTCCTTTCGTAGGCCTTGGAGAAGAGGGAATGATAAATGCTGAAAATTGAGCCTTCAGAACAGGCCAGTGTGACACTCAACAAGGAGGGGTAGGAATGAGAGTGGTAAGTCTCAACCCCCCCTGACCAGCTATAGCCTTGCCCTCAGGACCACAGGGTAAAAGGGGTGGGTGGAGGAGAGATGGGCCTAGATCTTAAGCTGCTGTAAAGAATGTTTTACTTTCACTGAGGTCAAGTGTAAAAGAGCATAGCTCCCCAGCTGAGGCTCTGGCCCATGGCAACTGGTCCTCATGGCCATGGGATGCTTATGTACATGCTCTTCTAAAGCCTCACTCCTGCTCCTGGGCAGCATCAACACTCTCCAGCTGCCTGGGCAGGAGTTAGCTGTGAGTGCAGTGGGCCTGCACTGGTAGAAGGGTATCTGTCTCAAGCTGGGGCTCTGCTTCCTGAAAAGGAATGCTTAAGGTGGGGGTGGGAAAGGAGATGTGTGTTGCCCATAAAACAAGCATCCCTGACTGCAGGGCCTACCTGAATTAGCAGGGAGTGGATGCTTAGCTGGGTAACCGGATGGCACATCCAGCTTTCTCCCTGGCTAGCTCAGATCAAGTTCTGCTTGGTGTTTAAACTTTGCCCTCTGCTTGCTGACTTGAGGAACGGAATAATTTGTAGCTCCATTCCTTGGGCCGTTCTTCTGCATTACAGGGAGGCTGGCAGTAGGAGATGGGGATTGAGGATTGTGGGGGAGGGGGGTGGATTCTGGCAGGGTTAGACATCTCCTCTGCTAATACCTGCCAGTCCTGTTCACTACTTGTAAAGCTGCTTGATGCACCCTTGAGTGGAAACAGACTACTGATGCCACCTGGTTGTGCCCAGGCCCAAATGCTGCACTGGCAGATTTCAGCACTAGCCTGAGAGCAGAATTTGTCTAAGACTCACCTTTAGTCCCCCCTGCTCTTGTCAGAATATACCACCACCTCCTGCCACTAGGCTGTTGCAGGGTGTGTTCTGTGTGGGATCCATCTACTCAGCAATTGCTAGACTTTGTGATTGCTACAGTAGAATTGCAGCACCACTCTACAGCAGGGCTAATTCCCTTCCCACTTCCCCCTCCAGAAGGAGGTTTAGCTGCTGGTCTCCCTCATTATGTGGTGGTTCATGTCATGGCTTCAGCAGTTCGACTCACTGCATGTCGTCCTCTTGTGTTAGGGGCCAAATTCTCGTGGCTCCTGCTGCTGGTTCTCATGGCCGGTTTGTTTGTCCACAAAGGCTGCAATCTCTGTTCGAAATGGTCTCAAGAAACATCAAATTCTTAGGCACTTTCTCTCAGTGATGGGTTCATCCCCTCTGCTAATGGAGTTGGACTTCTAACCCTGGTCAGAACAGATCCCTTCACACCCCCACTCCTTGCTGCACTTTGCGTTCAGGGTAACGCCAGCAAACTTTCAGCACTAATACTTGTATCTGTAAATAAAATGTTGCTGCATTTATTGGAAAAATCTAGTTTAAAAATGTAACTTTATTATGAATAAACACTATGTATAAATGAGGCTTGCTCGTCCTTTGTCTTCTCTTTGCCTGCTCTGAAGAGTGCGAGTAACTTCAAAACCAAGTATGCTATTAATGCACTCCATGTCACTATCTGCATGAAGGATGGTGCAGGTGTAAGCCTGGACTCAGATCCGGGTTCCGTTCCTCACTTTGCTATGGAGGTGTGACTTGGGCCTGTCGCTTGGTCTCTCTGGGCCCCAGGCCCCCATTTGTACAATGGGGATAATAGCACTACTCTGCCTCACGGGCCTTGAGGATAAACACGTTAAGCAGCTCATATACTAAGGCCTGGCCTGCACAACAGGGTTAGGTCAATGCAAGGCAGCTTGTGATGACCTAACTATAGAAGCATGTGTGACTGGTTCCCTGGGGTGCAGTCTGGGACTGTGGGACCATTGTACCTACTGAACTCTCTCCAGCTGGGGCTATCTCTCACAATCCCTTGCTAGTGACAAGCCACAAACCCCTCCAGGTGCTGTGATCACTCAGCATAACCACATGTGGCACCCCATAGCCAGTGAGATTGCATGAATGCTCCCAGAGCCACTCATGAATCACACAGGGAAAGGCACCAGCCAAATCCCCCCCCAGCACTGTACCTCAGGAATATACCATCTTGTGCTGCTCAGGGTAAGCAGTGCAAATTTATTAATTGGTTCACCACTTCATCAATGGAAAGTGGACATACACCAGCCTTTTTAAAACCTGAGCATATTTACCATTCACTTCAGGCAAACTCAACCAGTAAAACAAATTGATTGACTACAAAAGGTAGATTTTAAGTGATAGGCAAAAAGTCAGTTAGTTACCAAATGAAAATAAAACGTAAGTATGCAGTCTAAACTCTCAACCCTATTAGACTAGGCAACATTTAGATTAAGCAGTTTTTTCTCACCCCACTGCATATTGCAGTTCATAGTACATAAATTTCACCCTTGAAATCTGGGCCAGTCCCCTCAACTGGAGTCTTCAGACTGTCCTTGTTGCTTGCAGCGTAAGTGGGTGAAGGAGATGGGCCAAGGCTGGGCCCCCTGTGTTCAGTTTGATCTCCTCAGTCCATGTGCTTGTTGAATGCAAGTCCAGGCATGTCTGGGGCCATTGCTGAGTCTCCAGGCAAGGTTGAGCAATTCCCCTGGTGTAACCTCATGCAGGTGAGTCACTGAATTGTAGCTCCCTTGCTGGACAATGGTTGTTGATGGTTGTTTGACACCCTGCCTGGGCGTTGGTGACTTTCCTTGCTGTTGCCTCTGGGGAGCTAATATCTGGCTGATTGCTCAACTTACAGTATGTTTTCATGACAACCATACAACACACTTCTCAGAACTTCATATGCATTAATGATATGGCTAGAGACATGACTTTCAGCAAATCATAACCTTTCCCCTGATACCTCACAAGGCACGCTTTGTATGCAAGATCACAATCCCATATAAATTAGGAATACGGGGGCTATAGGGTGCTCCCCCAGGGTACAGAATGTCACAGTGTCTGTACTTAAATGTCACTCCTGCTGATGTAACTGCTCCACTACACCGCTAGCTCCATGAGTGGTGTAGCGTCAAGGCCAGTGCAGTTATGTTGATGGACTGTTACTGGCTTTCAGGAGCCATCCCACAATCCCCCACTCACGACCGTACAATCAATACAGGCGCTCCAGGGGAGGATGTGCACCACCAACACACGGAGCAAGGGGCAGACCCACACAAATGATGTCATTACTGTGGTGGCGGTATGCTGACATAAGTTGGGTCAACTTAATTTTGTGGTGTAGACATGGGCTGGGGTAGTGTGGGGCCACATAAGTATTTAGACACACTTTGCAGCATGGCCTTAGCTGCCTAGCAAATGCATGGGCTGCAGTCAGGCTGAGGTCACTGAAGGCTCTGAGACTGGACTCCCTCAATCATAAACAATTTACAGACCTTATTCAGGGCTCCCAAGCATGACTGAGTCTGAAAAAAACACTTCCCCTTCCTTTAGAACAGGGGTTGGCAACCTGCGGCACGCGTGCCAAAGGCGGCATGCAAGCCAACTTTTACTGGCACGCTGCTGGCAGCCGGGGTCCTGGCCACCAGCCCCACTCAGCCCGCTGCCTGCCTGGGTGAATGGAACCCCCAGCTGGCAGCTGGGACCCCGGCTGGCAGGAGCTGGCAGACAGAACCCCAGACCGGCAGCGGGCTGAGCCGCTCTGCCCGCTGCCGGTCTGGGGTTCCAGCCACCGGACCCTTGCCAGCCAGGGTCCTGGCCGCCGGGCCCGCTCAGCCTGCTGCTGGCCTGGGTGAACGGAACCCATGGCTGGCAGCGGGCTGAGCAGGGCTGGCGGCCAGGACCCCAGCGGGCAGGAGCCGGCGGAACCCCAGCGGCAGCAGGTGAGCGGCTGCTGGTCTGGGGTTCTGTCCGCCACCCCAGTCAGCCTGCTGATGGTCTGGGGTTCCGGCCGCTGGCCCCTTGCCAGCCGGGGTCCCAGCCATCGGCCTGCTGCTGGCCTGGGATACCAGCCGCTGGCCCCACTCACCTCACTGCTGGTCTGGGGTTCCAGCCAGGGTCCTGGCCGCCAGCCCGCTCAGCCCGCTGCCAGTCTGGGATTCCATCAGGGGGCCCCTGTAAATGTAAAATTTATTACTGGCACGCAAAACCTTAAATTAATTAAGACTTGGCATGCCACTTCTCAAAGGTTGCCAACCCCTGCTTTAGAACTAATCTACCAAGCCCTGGTATCCTACTCTGCAACACCACTTCTTTCCATCAGAGCTCCAATGAAGATCATGGGCCACAAACTTGGCTGCTATAAATCAGCCTGACTCATTCATGGCACTGGAGTTGTGCAGACTTACAACAGCAGAGGATCTGGGCCCTTACATCATTTCTGTCACCCACTCAGCTCCTGTCCCTGCTGCTACAGAACAATGGGGCTTTACCGCTTCCTTGAGGGAATGAATTCTACACCTTAACACACCTCATTAGCCGGGCGTTTTGCCTTTCTTAATTCACACCCCTGTACTCCACGCTAAATCATTCTTCCCTCTCCTAATGTGTTAACACCCCTCAAATATTTGCAGAGCATTGTCATACTATCCCTTAGCTGTTCCTCAGCCAAGCTCTACAGATTTAGCCCTTTTAATCTTTCCTCCTACGTCAATCTGTCCGACTCTTCCAGTGACTGTCACTGCTTCCCGGCAGGTTGTCAGCAGGAAAAGATACTGAGCACATAAACAGATCAGTAGATAAATATCCCCTGAGATCTGAACACCTCTCAAAATGAGCCGGGCTCATTTCCTCAGCTGCTCTTCCTCATCACACAGGAGGTTAGACAGCTTTCAGTCAGGTGTAGCTGGAGACAGATTTAAGCAGGATCTTCCTCAGGCTCTTGAGGCACTTAGCTACAATGCACGCTTGGCAACCACTCATCTGTTGCAGAAGGGCCACAGCAGGTCTTCTGTGATGACTGTTTTCGCAATTCACCTCCTCTCATACAGGTGTCCCATTTCCTGATAACTACAAGTGCCACGCTGCCTGCCCAACTTAATCGATAGGATTCTCTCACAAATCCTGCCACTTTCTGTAAATCCTGCTGAAGGAAGCAGCTGAACTCTCTGGCACGTATAACACTGCAAATCAGACAGCAAGGAATAAGACTACATGTCACAATCCTTCCATTGTGTGCTGGCATCACACTAACATCTCCCACCCCCACCCCCGTCACCTCTCGGGTTCTCCAAATGGTCCAAAGAGCCCCATAGCTGCAACAGCTGTCCAGAATTTGAACTACCCACAACTTATCATTAAGAACAATGCACAAGCAAACAAAGCTGCTTGCCAAGTACGTTCTACAGCTGGAGGTAGGCCCTCGGAGGTGGAGAACACGGTACCTGCCCTATCTCTAACATTAAAACACTTCACGGGTAAGTGCATGAGCTTGGCTTTGATCTCCTCAGCGGGGAGGAAGATAGGATCTGTTGGATGTGTCCAGTTATGTGCAAAGGTCCTAGGGACACGCTCACCCCACCCATAGGCAGGTCAGTGCAAAGCTCATGTTCCAATTAGCTCAGCTTTGGAGAGCAAGAATCAGTGCTTGGTACGAATAACTCTGATCTAAGAGTCATAACAGGCACTGGGCATGGCACTTCAGTTCTGGTCCCTGAATAAAATAATACTTAGCACTTATCTTTTCAATTCCAACATACTTTACACACGTCATCTAAGTCAGTGGCTCTCAACTTTCCAGACTACTGTACCCCTTTCAGGAGTCTGATTTGTCTTGCGTACCCCAAGTTTCACCTCACTTAACAACTACTTGCTTACAAAATCAGACATAAAAATAGAAAAGTATCACAGCACACTAGTACTGAGAAATGGCTGACTTGCTCATTTTTACCATATAATTATAAAATAAATCAACTGGAATATAAATATTGTACTTACATTTCAGTGCATAGTATATTGAGCAGTTTAAACAAGTCATGATATGAAATCTTAGTTTGTACTGACTTCACTAGTGCTTGCAGCCTGTTTTAAAACTAGGCAAATATCTAGATGAGTTGATGTACCCCCTGGAAGACCTCTGTGCACCCTTAAGGGTATGCGTACCCTGTGTTGAGAACCACTGATCTAAGTCATGAAACCTCTCTGCACCAGATGTGGGAAACCAAAGCAAAAGAACAGGAGTACTTGTGGCACCTTAGAGACTAACAAATTTATTTGAGCATAAGCTTTCCTGAGCTACAGCTCACTTCATCGGATGCATGCAGTGGAAAAAACAGTGGGGAGATTTTATATACAGAGAGAACATGAAACAATGGGTGTTACCATACACACTGTAACGAGAGTGATCAGGTAAGGTGAGCTATTACCAGCAGGAGAGGGAAAAAAAACCTTTTGTAGTGATAATCAAGGTGGACCATTTCCAGCAGTTGACAAGAACTTGTGAGGAAACGGGGGTGGGGGGGAAGGAAATAAACATGGCGAAATAGTTTTACTTTGTGTAATGACACATCCACTCCCAGTCTTTATTCAAGCCTAATTTAATGGTGTCCAGTTTGCAAATTAATTCCAATTCCGCAAAAGAGACACTGACCAGTCTAGTTCCACTGTCCCAAAGTACAGCCCAAAAGGTGAAAACTAATTTAGATTTTTTAAAATTCAGGTTAATAATGGCAGGTGGGGAATTTCTAAAGAACCTAAGGCAGTTAGATGCTCCAGACTCAAAGGATGCCTACCTCCCTTGTGTTCCCTTGAAATTCCCAGCCAGAGAGTGGGACTGAACCGAAACCCCAGAGCTAAAAGCATCTGGACTTTGTTGGGGTTTGAAAATACAGGCAAAGGCCATTTAAATTAGAATGATTGACATAGCACCCAAAAGAGTGCTTGGCGCTTTACAGGCATATTAAAAAGACACATCCCTGCCCCAAAGCACTTACAATCTACAGGCCAGATTTTTTAGGAGTTCAGCAGTAGCTACCTTTGTTATAAGTGGGGGATTCTCAATTGTTCCCCATAGAAGCTGAGAACTTTGGAAAATCTGGAACCTATCTCTATGTTTTATATCAACGGTGTCCCTTTAAATATTGGCTTCCTATGTTAAGGTCACAAAGCAATGTTTCGTGAACAGGAAACGCAGGGAACTCTAACTGTTATATTTAACCCAACAGCGGAAAAGTGAGTTGAGCAAGAGAAAGAAAATGTCAGATCATGCCCGAGCCAGGTTGATGAAACATAACAGCAGAAGCAGACCCCTCCTCTGCACTTACTGTGCCAACTTCCCGCAAGAAATAAAGGAACCAGCTCACTTCAGAGAAGGTGCGCCGCACTTTGCAACGTCTGAAACCCTCTCCCAGAGGCACTGCTGAAAGGTAAGTGCATTTTACAGCTTGGTTGCTTTTTTATTCCTGAGGCAGAATTAGCCCCAAAATCTGCTGCAAAACCCTGAACTGATCTACTCTTCCTCACAAAGAAATAGTTTTCATGTTTCTTAAAAAAAAAAGTTTGTCTAATTTGGCTCCCAATTTGATTTAATCAAGGCTGGATTTTCAGCGGTGCCAAACACTTCCAAAAATCAGGGCCCTAGTGGAAATGTTTTGATCTTGATAGTAACAGGCTCATGCAAGTGTCTCAAATGCAATCCGTCATCTAACTGCTGCGGCTGAGTTAGTGCATGTCTTGCTACTTGAAAAACCCAAGTAACAACCAGAGAGATCCCAGACCCACTCTGCTCTTTAGCTGAATAGGATCCCGCACGAGAGCTCTTTGCTGTCAGGGTAGCCTGCCTTTCTGCTTGTCTCCCCTTTCTTCCTTGGATAGGTATCGGTGCAGGACAGCTCAGTAAAACCAGACTGAGGAGGCAGCAAGCTCTGGAGAAACAAACATGAGTTTGGGAGGGTCTCCAGTTCTAATCCTGGCTCTGTCACTCACCTGATGTGTGACCTTGGGCCCACTCACTTTAGGTGGGGCTTCTAAGGGAACTAGGCACCTAATTTCCTCTCCTTCACTCAGGCATCTAACCCCCTTAGGCATTTTTAAATGCAAACTCTTCCCCATTCTGTGCCTCAGTTTCTCCATCTATAAAGCAGGGATAACACAACCTTTCCCCCTACCTCACTGTGGTGGTGTGAAGATAAGTTGTCCATAAAGCCCACACAACGGGCCTATTTGCTAAGTGTCATTAAAGCCACATGACCAGATCTGCCATAGAAGCTTCTGTTTCATTTAATTCTGGGCAGAGGACAGATTCACATCACAAACCACCCGAAGTTTCTTCTACACTTTCCACAGTATGCATCCGATGAAGTGAGCTGTAGCTCACGAAAGCTTATGCTCAAATAAATTGGTTAGTCTCTAAGGTGCCACAGGTACTCCTTTTCTTTTTGCGAATACAGACTAACACGGCTGTTACTCTGACACCCGAAGTTAGGAGCCAAACTCTGTGGACTGGGCCAGTCCCTAAATAGCAGTGCTGGTTTGCAGATCGGAACCCTTTTATGTCGATATATTTTTAGAGGGAAGCCTGGAAAAATTGGACTAAAAGTTCCTGTTTGGGTGATCTTTATTTTAGTTTGTACTGACAGTCTTCTAGCCTGGTAACTCATTTCCTATGAAGTCTGGATGCTTATCAGCATCTCTGTCTAACCGTTACAAAACACACAACGTGATGAAGTTAACGTGCTATCTCACCATCACTCCCCCATCCCTCCTAACCTCCCCCTCTTAGTGTGAAACGGTTAACTCCTTTAGTTCCCATGCAAATATAATTTGTTTAGAATGAACAGAGAAGAGCAGCCTCTGGGGACAGCTTCAGGTGATGTATAATGAGAGGAAGGGTGGCTCGTGGGGTAGGGTGCTAGCTTGTATTCAGGAGCTCAATTCTCTTCCCTGCCACACACAGCCTATGTGACCCTGGGCAAGTCACTTATGCTGAGATTGTCAGAGGTATTTAGGTGCCTAACTCCCATTGAAACCATAGTCTGTGTGTGCCTCAAGGTACATCTACATTGCAAGAAAAACCCTGCGCCAGCGAGTCTTAGAGCTCAGTTCAGCTGAGCTGAGCTTGTGTGATGAGGCTAAAAATAGCAGCGCCAACATTCCCACTCAGCCCGGAGCCCGGGCTCTGTGACCCACCCCTCTTGCCAGGTTTCAGAGCCCAGGCTCCAGCCTGAGCGGGAATGTCTATGCTGCTATTCTTTTAGCCTGTAGTACAAGCCCGAGTCAGTTGACCCCGGCTCTGAGACTCGCTGCTGTGGGGTATTTTTCTGCAGTGTGGACGCACCATCAGTTCCCCATCTGTAAAGTGGGGATAATTATTATCTTGAGCTCTTATCTAGAGCTTTTCATCAGCAGGTCTCCAAGCACTTTGCAATGGAGGTCAGTATCTTTATCCCTGTTTTACAGCTAGAGAACAGCAGTGCCCCACCATACAGCGACATTGTGAGGATCAGGGTATCGAAGATTGTGAGGCGCTCAGATACTAAGGTAATGGGGCTACAGGAGGCCCTAAGACAGAGGGATCTGGAGATTCAGAGCCACAGTTCTGCCAACACTGATGCACACCCACAAAGTTCAGCATGTACGTCTTTGCAGGATGGGGGCCCCAAAAGATGCTCCCTCAGAATTTAGGGGGAAGCCATACCTCCTGTAGAACCTCTCCTACATTTCAGAGCAGTAGCTCCTGTTTCGGGAAGGCTCAGAACTGGGAAGCCTGTAAGAGGGATTAAAGAAGAAGAAGGATATACACAAAATGAGCAAATTAACAACACCATCGAAGTGGGCAGAGGCTTAACCAAAGGGCTTGGGTTTCATTTACACTAAGGCCCCACTCGGGTTTGAACCCCTGAGAATAGCCGCTGTAAAGAGGATTTCCCTGGCGGGTGCAGAGATGGCATAAAGGGCTCTGCGCCAACTGTGTGCAACCAGGTCCTGCCGCAGGGGGTGCGGCGGGTGAACACTGCTCTGTGCCTATTTTCTGCTTCCCGGGGCCCATCGGAGGCAGAGCATACACTAGAGCAGCCCTGAGATCGCTGTAATTTATAGTAGGGGTTGGAAAGGCCCCGGCGTGGCCAAAGATACAGGGAGCACAAACAGGATTTAAAAGCACCTTTGCCCCATCCTCGTCATCCCTTCCCCAAGGGTGGGAATGGACCAATTGAGAATCAGGCCCTCAGAATCCACATGGTTTTACTGCTGTAACTCTCATCTTCGCTATCCCTTCTCCTTAAGTCAGTCTAAAGCTAAACTGTCAGCTCTTTAGGCACGAACCTTCCATTGTAACTTTCCTGCCTTATCTAGCACATATTCAGGGGCGGTAACAGTGAGCATAGTTAATGATGACACCATGAGATCAGCCTCTTGGTTTTATTTTGACTTTCAGTTTCAAATCAACCTAACAAACTCAAGATAAAACTCCGCCCGAACTGCTAGCTTTTGACTCAGTTGGGGAGCTGAAGCCACCATGTGGACTCTTCCAGCGTTGCCTACTCTTGTGAATCTATCACAACTCTTGTGATATTTGGTGTTTTTCTTACTGCCCTGCTCCAGGACTCCTGTGATTATTATGTGAGAATCACAGAATCATAGAACTGGAAGGGACCTCAAGAAGTCATCTAGTCCGGACCCTGCACTCAAGGCAGGACTAAGTATTATCTAGACCATCCCTGACAGGTGTTTGTCCAACCTGCTCTTAAAAATCCCCAATGATGGAGATTCCACAACCTCCCTAGGCAATTTATTCCAGTGCTTAACCACTCTGACAGTTAGGAAGTTTTTCCTAATGTCCAACCTAAACCGCCCTGGCTGCAATTTAAGCCCATTGCTTCCTGTCCTATCCTCAGAGGTTAAGAAGAACAATTTTTCTCCCTCCTCCTTGTAACAAGCTTTTATGTACTTGAAAACTGTTATCATGTCCCCTCTCAGTCTTCTCTTCTCCAGACTAAACAAACCCAATTTTTTCAATCTTCAATAGGTCATGTTTTCTAGACCTTTAATCATTTTTGTTGCTTATCTCTGGACTTTCTCCAATTTGTCCACATCTTTCCTGAAATGTGGTGCCCAGAACTGGACACAATATCCCAGTTGAGGCCTAATCAGCATGGAGCAGAGTGGAAGAATTACTTCTCATGTCTTGCTTACAATACTCCTGCTAATACATCCCAGAATGATGTTTGCTTTTTTTGCAACAGCGTTACATCATTGACTCATATTTAGCTTGTGATCCACTATGACCCCCAGATCCCTTTCCGCAGTACCCCTTCCTAGGCAGTCAGTTCACATTTTGTATGTGTGCAACTGATTGTTCCTTCCTAAGTGGAGTACTTTGCATTTGTCCATATTGAATTTCATCCTGTTTACTTCAGACCATTTCTCCAGTTTGTCCAGATCATTTGAATTTTAATCCTATTCTCCAAAGCACTTGCAGCCCCTCCCAGCTTGGTATTATCTGCAAACTTTTTACGTGAACTCTCTATGCCATTATCTAAATCATTGATAAAGATATTGAACAGAACCGGACCCAGAACCAATCACTGTGGGACCCCACTCGTTATGCCCCTCCAGCATGACTGTGAACCACTGATAACTACTCTCTGGGAACAATTTTCCAACCAGTTATGCACCCACTTTATAGTAGCTCCATCTAGGTTGTATTTCCCTAGTTTGTTTATGAGAAGGTCATGCAAGACAGTATCAAAAGCTTTACTAAAGTCGAGATATACCACATCTACCGCTCCCCCTATGCACAAGGCTTGTTACCCTGTCAAGGAAAGCTATCAGGTTGGTTTGACACAATTTGTTCTTGACAAATCCATGCTGACTGTTATTTATCACCTTATTATCTTCTAGGTGTTTGCAAATTGATTGCTTAATTATTTGATCCATTATCTTCCCGGGTGCAGAAGTTAAGCTGACTGGTCTGTAATTCCCCACGTTGTCCTTATTTCGCTTTTTACAGATGGGCACTATATTTGCCCTTTTCCAGTCTTCTGGAATGTCTCCCATCTTCCATGACTTTTCAAAGATAGTTGCTAATGGCTCAGATATCTCCTCAGTCAGCTCTTTGGGTATTCTAGGATGCATTTCATCAGGCCCTGGTGATTTGAAAACATCTAACATGTCTAAGTAATTTTTGACGTGTTCTTTCCCTATTTTAGACTCTGATCCAACCTCATTTTCACTGGCATTCACTATGTTAGACATCTAATCGCCACCAACCTTCTTGGTGAAAACCAAAACAAAGAAGTCATTAAGCACCTCTGCCATTTCCACATTTTCTGTTATTGTCTTTCCCCCCTCATTGAGTAACAGCCTCCCCTGTCCTTGGTCTTCCTCTTGCTTCTAATGTATTTGTAGAATGTTTTCTTGTTTCCTTTTATGTCCCTAGCTAGTTTGATCTCATTTTGTGCCTTGGCTTTTCTAATTTTGTCCCTACATACTTGTATTATTTGTTTATATTCATCCTTTGTAATTTGACCAAGTTTCCACTTTTTGTAGGACTCTCAGCTTTCATTTTTTTAAAGTAAGTTTTTAGCCCTGATGGCAGCTGTGACAAGCTTGGAAACATGACATGAGTGCGCCTTAAACCTCTCCCAAGATTATCAAATTTATATATTTAAATTCTAATTTTTTAAGCCAATTTCTTGATTTTTGGTGGCCTGAGTCGGGGGGTTTGAACTCCCATGGAGTCAATGCTGCGTTCATTTAATTCTGAAGCCCTCACGAGAGCCAGTTTCACTCAGAATTCAGACCAAGGTCACCTAACAGTTCATGAACCTCAGCAAAGCTGGCCCGTCCTAAGCTGTTCATTTGTACACCACTAAGGCCTTGTCTACACTACAGGGAAAAGTCGATCTAAGCTACGCAATTGGAGTTAGTGAATAGCGTAACTGAAGTCGACGTAGCTTAGATCTACTTACCGCGGGGGCCACACTACGCAAAGTTGACAGGAGACATTCTCCTGTCGACTCCCTTTACTCTTCTCGATCTGGTGGAGTACAGGAGTTGATGGGAGAGTCATCAGCGGTCGATTTAGCGGGTCTTCATCGATCGCCATGCGTCGATCCCCCAGTAAGTGTAGACAAGCCCTAAGATTCACAGTGTTCAAAGAGAGAGGCCGAAGCAGGGCCTTGGGCAATGGGACAAAATCAGGGACCTTCTGGATACATCTACACTGCAAAAAAAAAAACCCCATACCACAGCAGCAAGTTTCAGAGCCCAGGTCAGCTGACTTGGGCTTGCGCTACTGGTCTAAAAACAGCAGTGTAGTTATTCTGGCTTGGGCTTGAACCTGAGCTCTGAGACTTTTCCCTTCACCGGGTTTCAGTGCCCAGCTCCAGCCCCAGTGGGAACATCTACACTGCTATATTTTGTCCCACAGTGCAAACTCCACAAATCCAAGTCAGTTGACCTGGGCTCTGAGACTTGCTGCCGTGGGTTCTTTCCTGCTGTGTAGATGAACCTGTCTGTGTTGGCAGAGTGGTAGGATGGTCTTGGAAGTAAACCATTGAGCCTGGGAGTCAGGAGATCTGTGTCCAATTCCTGGTTCTGCCTTGAATGTCCTGTGTGACTGAACAAGTCCCTTAGGCCTAGGTTTGCCAGCTGCAGTGAAGCAGCCATAGGGGTCTAGACGTAGCCTCTCACAGAGGGGCCACAATCACACGATGAGAGCTTCTACTCCCTACTGATCAGGACCAGGTCTGCACTGGGCAATCAGAGACTGTCCCACTGCCAACCCTCAGCCTTTCAGTTCCCATTAGGCTATTCTCATTCAGATGTAGTCCATTCCCCTTTTCTTCCCATCAATAGCAAAACAGGCTTGATCGCCCGCTCAGTGTAAGAGTTCTATGACCCTCTGAGCTAATCTAATTAAAAGCCTGTTGCTAAGAGATCTCGAGAAGATGAAGGGGAGCACGGTGCCCTCTGATTTCTCCCTTCAAAGGGCTGAGCCACACACTGAAAGAGCCATGGAGGAGCAGAGGAGGCCCAGGAAGCTGGGCTCAAGCCGACGAAAGCAGCTGCGAGACGTGTTTGGTGGTGCAAAGACATCCCCAATCCTGGAGGAGGAGCCGTTCCCACCCGAAATAATGGAAAAGATTCAGGATTTCTTCCAGGAATGTGACAAGGACCAGAAAGGTTTTATCACACGCGCCGACATGCAGGTAAATTGCGGGTTTATGCAATGACCTCACTGGGCCAAATTCAGGCATCAGTGAAAAGCCGATAGAAACCAACGAGGTATAACTGAGAGCAGGACTGCCCTGACGGACAGCGTGTGGGAATGGGACTCAGTCCTGTTTCTGGGTCTGCCATTGAGCTGTGGTGGGAAAATCACGTTGCTCCGTGCCTCAGTTTCTCCATCTGTGAAACAGGGAGAATGCAACTTTCCTGCCTCCATAAAGCACTTTGAAATCTAAGGTTGACACGTGCTATGTAATCATTAATCATTATTATTGTGTTGCAGGTACAGATATATGAAACTATTCATCATATAATGTCTGGTTCTCTAAGGTGTTCTGCTCCCCTCAGTACAAGTTGAGGGCAATTAACACCTCTCAGGGTCAGGCCATGTTCAGCAAATCACCCAAGTAAAGTCTGAGCTAAAAAACATTGAGCAAAGGAGGCCGTGTTGGCTTGTGGTTAGACCAGGGGGCTGCCATGGACTCACAGTTTTGGCAAGTCACATCACTTCAATTCTCAGTTTCCCCCACTGTAAAACAGGTCTAAAACAGGTCACTAGGAGAGCAAACTAAAATGGGAGACCCTTGGATGGGCCGTGCTAGGGAAGGGCAAAATGTAACCCCTCGTTATTGTTCAGCTTTGGTTGCGATACGTCACACTTACAGCGTGTATTTAGACTGGAAGCCCAAGGAGCTTCCAGTCTCAGTGGAGAAGGGAAGAACAGAGGCACAGCGAGGTGAAATGACTCTGTATATCAGTGGTGGAGCCAGGAATTCAAGTCAGGCCCCCTGAGACGCAGGCCAGTGCCCTCTGCACTGGATCAAGCTGCCTCTCTTGAAATTAATGATGTAAAACAGGTGAGGAAGTGGAATCAGGCCCAAGCAATACAACAGACCAGATTTCTAAAGCCGCGATCACACCTTGTTGCTTTAAGTTAGTGCCTCCATGATGGGAAAACAGGTCCCTACACCTGAGCTCCTTCACAAGGTCAATCACATCTCTATCTAATCAGACGTTTGCACTGGTCTTAGAAACTGAAAAAAGAGGATTTCCCATGCAGCGCAGAGGAGCTGGAGCTGGTCTTTGATGGTCTCGATACCGACAGGAACGGATATTTAACTACAGAGGAATTCACCACAGGGCTCGGTAGGTGCTACTTTACTTCCTTTCACTGATGGGACACGGGAACTCATCAAAGAATTAATACTACAGCGGTACAAACAACAGCGATCATGGTAGAAGGCTTGGTGCTACTCCCAGTTTAAGGAGCATGGATGGACGCTAGGGCAGTGATTTCAGAGCATGTGCAAAGACGCAGCGCTCTGTCCTGTGCTTCAAAGCCTTAAAAGGCTAGTGAAGATTTTAGGTTCACTTACCATAGCAGGGCAACGCTTTGCTGCAATGATTTTATTAGTGCACAGAGAATATTTGTCAAACACGTCAGACTGCCTTGCTGTCTCTTTCATAAGAGCAACAGGCTTTTCCCCTCACTTAGCCCTTATCCACCCCATGTGCCTGACATGGCCCACAGGCTGCCCCAGGTACACAACATAGTCCTCCTTCTGCTCCAGGTGCCTGGACTGCCGCGCATTGCCTATGTGCCTCGAATGCCCAGCATGGCACACCTACCCAAACCTCGGGGGTTGGCCACCTGCTGCCCAAGTATCTGAACTGCCCAGCATGGCTCACCGGCCCAAACCCCCTTGCATTGTCCGCCTGCTGCCCTAGGCCCCTGTTCAGAATGTCTTCCCAAAATGCACCATTTTCTTCCATTCTAAATCCATCCATCAATCCAATCCAAGCGTGACTGTGCTGAGAGGCTGGCGAATGTTCACTCAGCTGCTCCCTTCTTTCACATGAGGAAGGCGAGACTGATGTCCTAGTCTGACAGTTTGCTTCTCCACCAGCTTTCTGAAATGACACCCTGGGCTTCTGAATCAGGAGGGCTGAATCATAGAATATCAGGGTTGGAAGGGACCTCAGGAGGTCATCTAGTCCAACCCCCTGCTCAAAGCAGGACCAATCCCCATTTTTTTTTTTTTTGCCCCAGATCCCTAAATGGCCCCCTCAAGGATTGAACTCACGACCCTGGGTTTAGCAGGCCAATGTTCAAACTACTGAGCTATCCCTCCCCCATGATTTTCAGAGGTGCTGTGCACGCAGAAACCAAAGGGAACCGCATGTGCTCAGAGTCCCAGAAAACCACCTTACGTAGGCATCTAAAGGTAGATTTAGGTGTCTAGCTTTGAGCACCACATGGACAGATGTTGGCCTCAGTGCTTCACTGTTGTATTGCATCTGGCCATTGACGTAGTTTTGGTTGTCTATTGGCAGAGCAGTTCCTGAGCTTGCAGACCACAACAAGGCAGCACAGGAGGAGGAAGACAGCTTCCAGGAGGGTGTACATGTCCCGCATGGACTACTCCCTGGAGGAAGCAGACAGCGAGGAAAGAAAATGCTTCAGAGCATTCATGGACCAACTGGGAGCAGACAATATCTTTGAAGAGTAAGTGCACCAGCCACACCTTCATTTAGCACCTAGCAGGGGGTTCAGGGCTGGGATGGGGCTAGATGATATTATGGTTAAAGCTTATGAGAAGGGTGGAATCCATATGTAATATGCTGGCCAAGCTCAATTCCCCATACAGGCTACCATGTGTGTGAATCTAGGGAGTTCAGGAATGGCTTAAGGCCACCTTCACCTGCCCTCTCCATCCCTGCTCCAAAGATAGGAACAGAGGAACTGAGAATCAGGCCTTGAACATAAACACAATCTTACCGCTTGTCTTTCCCAGGGGAGGGTCATCATCAGGGGTTGAACTTGGGACCTCCAGTTTCATGACCTCCTAGTGCTCGAGCTAAAGGACCAATTCCATTAGCTCAGAGGCAGTAGCAGACTCAAATCTCTGACATGGCTCAGCACCAGAGGGGGACAGAGATACACTTGGCCAGTGTACTACATGTGTTGTGATTGAATCCTCGTGGAAGGGCATGTACCCCCCACTCCTTAGCAGGTTCTGCAAAGTACCCCAATTCCGTTCTAGGTCCATGCTGCCAATGGACTGTCACTATGGCTGTAGACAAACTTTTCATTGAGACATTTTGTCCAATGAAAATTGCCTTTTTGAACAACACAGACATTTCTGGATTGCTGGCAATCACCCAACTTTTCAACAGCACGAACAATTTCATCCAAAAAGCTGGAAAATGGCAGGAAAAATTTTGAATGAGCAAACAAAAATTTTTGTTGGAAACTTTGGTGGAGAAGTCGTCCCCTTTTTGACGAGGCCAAATTCTCACCCTTGCCCATGTTCCCTATCCACAATCCCTAAATTCTTTTAAAAACCTTTCCTCTAGCTTTCAGCAAAGTCCTTTAACAGACCTCTTCCAGTCTTTACAACCCATCTGTCCACCTGCCACTATGGCAGTGATACAGTGGTTCAGGAGACAAATTAGTGATCAATATGACCCAAAAGAGCCACAGTCGTGTGACTTCATTGTTTCATTTACGTTTTTTATATAGCTATATGTTATTCTCACAGCAAAATGACTGACAAAGCATTCTACCACTGGTCAATAACACAGTAAGAGCATCCTCGCTGGTTAATTACTTAGGTTGGTTAATAATTAAATCACACAGGGTTTTACTATCATGTGCTGCAAAGAGCCGGAGGGGAGCCATTGAAGATCCACTTGTGGCTCCCAAGTCTCAGTCTGAGTGTAACTGCGCTATAGGTAGGAGCTCAAGTCTCTGCATGGCAGCTGTGCCATTCTTTAGCTCTCTCTTATGGGATTACAGGTATTGTCAGGGGAACTTTCCGCACATCTAACCAGCAACTAGACCCAAGGCAAAGATTCTCCCAGCTATCGCCAACAGGTCAAAGCAGGCCCCGACTTTGCTTAGCTTGCAAGACCCGATGGGATCTGAATGCTATTAAGCATGAAACATCCTAGAACTTCAGGCCTGAATGGACCATTCTATCATCTAGCCTGACCTCCAAATGAGGGGAGATCAACATCTCTTTCTCTCTCTCCTCAGCCAGTCAGAGATTTGGAGGCTCTGGGTGAAGCTCCGTCAAGACGAGCCTCACCTGTTGGGGAACTTGGAGGAGTTCTTGGCCAAGATGACGCACCGGATCAAGGAAGCTCAGAGCGAAAAGGTGACACTAGAGCTGACCTTGAACAAGTAAGTGGCATGGTGGAGCTGGCGTGGGGGGATCCGTTTCCACAAACAGCCTTACAGAAGGGGAGGATGAGCAGAGAAAGGGGCTGCGAGAAAGGGAAACCAAAGGAAAGAGGAGTTGCTTTCAGCATTCGCAGCTCTGGGAGAATGGATGTGGCTCCAGGGGGTTAATAACCAGCTATTGCGCCTTTGGCCTCCCATGTTACCACTTCCAATCCAGCCCAGCCCAGATCAGATGTTGCCAAGGGCCATTTGTTGGCCTATGTGAAATGGCCTTAGTGGACAGATGTCCACATTTCAAAACCACCTCTGCAGCAGGTCCCCTCATTGGCAGCTGCAGTAGTGAGACAAAGGATTGAGGGCCCGATCCGCCCCGATTGGAATCGATGAAGTTAGATGTGTGTCAGATCAGGCCCTTGAATGGAGACACATCAGGTCCTCTTACTTCTGAGAGTGGCCCTGCCGGGTTGGGTTTGAAGCCGGGTTGAGACAAGGGAGTTTGCCCAGCAGTTGCCCAGGTAGCGCTGGTTCTGTAAGGAAAGAGAGGTCTTTAGGGCTAACGATCGGTCCCCTTTCACCAGCGCTACCTTCCCATTCAAATACTAGACCTGGTGTAAACAGACCCATATTAAAGCTGCCCGCTCATTCTCCTGTGCCAGACGGGTCACTGATCACAACCGGGAGGTGCAGCAGCTGTACGAGGAAATGGAGCAGCAAATAAACCGGGAGAAGCAGCACCTTCAGCATGAGGTGGGTTCACAACCCGGACAGGCCTGGTCACGTCCAGCTCCCATGCGTGGCAATGGAGGGGGAGTGATAGTTCCCTCCTAACAAGAGGTATTTCCTCTTCGGGGGTCCTGCTGAGGGGAGGCCTCTCAACTCAAACTGTTGAGTGTTCCCTTGGCATGAGTGTTCCCCGTCTGGGGCTCAGTTCCATCAGCAGAGCACTGCCTCTCTGGCCTCACGTTTGGCAGGTGGATTGGGAAGAACTTTGCAGAGGAGCTTTGGGATTTGGCCTTTTCCATGGTGTTTGACCAGAGTGTCGGGGACAGCCAGAACTTCCCTAAGAAAGGAAAGACCAAAAACAGGAGCCAGCCAGGTGCAGGGGAGGGTCATCGGCTTCCCCGGTGGTTAAATAGCCACACCCATGTTTCCTGAATATTCGCAAGGGTGAGCTAGGGCTCACAGACACATCAAACCTCAAACCAGAGGCTCAGCAGGATCAAATCCACCCACCACCATGAGTAACTGGGCTCAGAACTACATGGTTCCCTCCTGGGCAGTCGTCCCCTGCCAGGTCTTGGCAGGGCAGGCGAGCTGCTCCATGTCCCACTGCAACCCCTCCAACCTGTTTAACAGGAAACTTCCCCCCAGCATATACCTGCCAGTTCTGGACAGATTCAGAATAGGGGCCCAATTAAATGACTCTGCAGAGACTCACCAACCACTTCACTCTGATAGGTTTGAACTAACCCCACGTTTGCCTTTTCTTCTCCATCTGTACTTTGGTTTTTACCCTGCTGCCTTTCTTTGCAAACATACCTGTTTCCTCCCGCTCTCTGACCTGAGACTGTATCTGAATTCAAAATGCAGGGCAGCCTGTTTATAAAAGGAGGCCCTCCCATGGGTGTTGTTACAGTAATTAGGGGGTGGAGCTAGGCATTATATATACTGCTCTGATGTAGCCCACAGGCAATCTCCGGTTAGAACTAAAGAAAGAGGAAAGACTCTGTTTATTGGCACTCAAAAAAAATCTCTCTCTGTGTCCCTACCCTGTGTGTAATTTTTATGAGAGTTCTTGAGTCTCCTTGAGTTTGGGAGGTGGAACGTGAGTTTGGGATTTCTAGAGTGAATGGATTCCCTCTGGGAGGAGAATTCCTTCACCTCTTCTAGTCATAATATGTCTATGGATCCTATTTGCCCTTAACAAAGATGGCACATGCACTGGCAAAGCTTCCAATGATTATTATTAGTATCCCAACAGCGCCTAGTGTCCCCAGGTGAGATCTGGGTAGGTTCTGTACACTGTAGTAGGTGCTGTACAAACGTAATAAAGCAGTTCCAGTCCTGTAGTGCTTTCAGTCTCAATAGACTAGTGGGAGAAAGGAAGTGACATCACGTCCTTTTTACTGGAGGGGAACTGAGGCCCAGGGAGATCAAGTGGCTTGCCCAAGCTCAGACTTCAGATCTCCTGCACCTCCGTCATGTGCCATCATCACAAGAGCACCCGTCCCCTTCCCTGCTCAGCAACGATTTGGTTTCAGGGACCCAGCTCCACCATCACCAGTCTCTCAGCCAGCTCTGAAACACGCACCATTCCCGTTTCTGCTGTGTGGTCTGACCTCTCCCTGCTAGACGCACATGTTAGTCATTCTTGGTGTTAAAAGAATGGTTCAAAATCCCTCGGCCGCCATGTGGATAGACGGCCAACTAGACCCACTCTGTCCAGGTCTCCAGGTTTGCCATGAAGGAGTGTTGCCACCAACCTGCCTATGGGGTGTAAGGAAGTGTAACTCCTGCTTGCTCGGAATGGCACTCTGTCCCCTTCTCATGGTGGCTGGACCCACTAGAGACTGATGAGCCTGCTATAGCCTTGGCTTAGAAAGAGGTGTCTTTTAGCTCATGTAGCAGAAGCGCATGCATTTAGCTCCAGAGATCCCAGGTTTGATCCCCGCTGCCGATGCCCCTTTGTGGGTCGGCATCACAGAAACAATATTTAACTTTCAGCTTCACATTGTGGCTCCGATCCTCTGAGCTACGCCTGTGGCCCCTGAACATAAAGGGTGAAATTCCCCCCTTGTAGCTGTGCAGCAGCCCTGCTGAAATGCGCAAGGCCATCAGGATTGCTCAGCATAGTGAGCTCCTAGTGAGGAGAGGATTTGTTACTCCGGGTAGCATCAGGGAATTGTCCTTGAGTGGACGGGTCATTTAAAGAGACTGGCATTAACATCTCCTCTGATTCCAGAGTAAAGCCAGAAGTCACCTGCACACCGCGGAGGTGCAGAGAGCACTAGACGTCGTGGAGGGGGAAGTGCAGCGCTTGCTGGTGGTTCAAAGTGAGGTGAGATGCTCGGTGGCCTGCAGAGGACTCAGCTGAGTTCCTAGAGGGGCAAATGTACACATCACTGCAGTTTTGGGTGGCAGACAGAGCAGAGAGGGCAAGGACTGCATGGGATGCCCCTCCAGCAGCACAGCCCCTCTTGGCACCATGCTGAGCGTTGAGTATTGTGCTCCTATTGAGTCCCGCCACCAAAAGCATCTCTTGTGCCCGCCTTCATTGGCCCAGGCTACAAGTGTCACAACCGGATCCCCGGCCTGTTAACTCAGCCAATCAAATCCTATTCCTCATGCCCCTTTTATTGGAGCTGGTCTCTGACAGAAGCATATGAATACCAAAAGAACACATATTAACCCTGTGCTTGCTGCTCAAGTGTCCCAGCTACATCCAGATGCAAGGCACTTGCTGCGCTGAAGACCATACCAGGTAGACGGTGTCGTGCTTCTGGGTATGCTCAGCACATCCAAGCAAAAGGCACCTGCTGTGATGCTGACTATCCCAGGCATGCCTGGGCAAAGACACAGAGTTGTGCTTCTAACTGTACCAGACATGCCTGGGCAGAAGGTACCTGGTGTGATGCTGAATGCACCGGGCCTTTCAGTGCAGAGCTCTGTTGCATCGTCTTGCGTGTGGTCTATGGATGCCCGTAGAAATTCCACTCACAGAACCTATGCAGAATACACTGCCAAGGTCTGCAGTGCAAATCACCGGGGACATTTTCCCATCCGTTGCACCGTTACCCTCCTGCTGAGTTGGGGTACAATACCGGGCGGCTAGGACATTCCACACTAATGAAAAAAACCCAGGCCATAACAATCAGCCTCACCAACCCTAACCAAGCAGAGCACTAGCTCCTGGGAGAAGGTAGAATGTGGAGCTGCTTCTCCATTGTGTCATTAGTTTGGGACCCAGCCTTCAGGCCCTGTTTGAAACAGGAGTTGGCGCATTTTCCGCAATGGAGACAGGTGCCTTGGGCAGCGCCAGTTTACACCAGCGGGGAGTTTGGCCCCAGGGATTGCTCAGTTCATTATTTACAGGTTTCCACGTATCCAGCTGGCAAATCTAACACTCTCCTGCTGGCTCCTTTGTGGGTGCCTGAATTGGCCTCCTCTTCTTTCCTCCAAGCTCGAGACCCAATTCCACAGCCTCAGCACCAAGCAGCACGCTGCCACCAGCGAGAACCAGAGGCTGAAAGAAAACAACCAGGACCTGGAGAACCAGCTGCAGCAAATCCACATTCAGCTCCAGGAGACCCAAGGGCATCTGGGTGCTATGAGGGGCAGGGTATCTCAGCCACACAGCGAGGAAGGCAGGTAAGTACTCCTCAGTCACGTTCATGGGTGGTATCGTTCCCTATGGGACACATGCCAAGAGAAAAGTAGCTTACTTATCCTGTGGCTAAGCTGAGGTCCAGCCTCTCCTAGGAAGGTTCTCCCAGTGCTGGAGTAACTTGAATCCCCTTCTCTCTTGAATGAGAGTCATTTCCACCTGACCACTGCTTGGGAGCTCACAAGAAAAGAAGTTTGTGGGTCTCAGTCCATACCCTAGGGGACAGGTCTCTACAGCATCAAGGGAGGCAGTGTTTCCTAGTGGATAAAGCCCTGGACTGGGACTCAGGAGACCTGGGTTCTATTCCTGGCTCTGCCACTGGTTTACTAGGTGGCCTTGGGCAAGTCATTTCACCTCCACATGCCTCAGTTTCCACATCTGTAAAAGGGGGATAATGATACTGACCTCCTCTGTAAAACTCTTTGAGATCTGTGAGTGAAAACTGTTATATGAGAGCTAGGTATTACCATAGTCATCATCACAAAACTAATTAGCTGCCTTTGGGACAGTGTCAGCAGAGAGGCTAAGGTCTGAACAGACTTTCAGATCACATCTGAGGCAGGACCCAGTGTGTGGGGAAGACGCTTGCCTAGCTGCTGTCCAGGCTGTTACCTGCCCGTGGAGAGAGCACTTTACCCTCCAGGGCTGTCCCCTCTCATCAGCTTGAATTCATATCATACGTTCTACATAACAACAGCCACTCTTCAAATACATCCCTCTTCCTTTCTGCACCGTCTTCTCAGCCATGTGCTGTGAGCCGATCTCGTCCCATCACAGGATCAGAACTGCCGCCAATGTGGACAGAAGCACCCTGTGGCAGAGGGCTCATAGTGCAGAAACAGCAGGGGTGTGAAAAGGCTCAGGCCTAGGAGCGGTATATTGTAAATCTCGCCACCGTCTGAGTGTAGAAAAGAAACTTTTAATAAAAGGAGGGAAGTAACTTGGCATTAATTTGGGAAAACACTGCAAAGAGGGTTCATAAACATAAACCATGAGTAAAGACCCACCTCAAGTAGATTGGGCAGTGTCCTTTTCCACTCAGGTTCTTAAGTCCAGCAACCCAAAAGTCCCCTTCACATGCCCGACCCGTCTGTGCACCCCACTCACAGTTGCTGCCCCTGGTCAGTGCAGACCCAGAGTTCAGAGGTGCAACTGCAGAGTTCACCCCCCACCCTGCGTGGGGGGTAAAGCTGGGGGGTAAGAGGCATCTTACTCACTCATCATGTATGCTAATGCAGCAATAAAAACAATTGCACCTGGCTTGAGGGATTATTGTGTAGTCCCTTGTGCACTGGCTGAGATTAAAAGAAGAGTAAATGGCGCAAACCACTGATAAAGAAGCCTATCAGTAAAACATGATGAGGGCTTGATGCAAAGGTAAAACAGCAGATTTACAATGGAAAAGGAACCCCTAGATATTGAACCCGGCCCTGGCTGCTGCTGGCTTCACCTGGCAGAAGGGTTCCATACAAGCGCTGCATCCCTGCTCTCTGCTGTATTTCACAGCACTGGGATAGTCCGTAGAGCTTGGTGCAATGTAGTGTGTTTGCGTGTCCCATTATGGTCTTATTTTCTCTCTCCTGTACATAGCATGTGCCATTGTATATTATTTTGCAGTGCGCCATACGGTATTTCGTTTGCTTCTGATTTGGGACACAGGACAAGAGTGATCTCCACAGAAGAAGACCCCTTCACAGAGTTCATGAAAAAGGGAGAGGCATTCTTCCAGCAGGAATTTTCGGGCCAAAGCTCTTTGCTCAGCGAACTGAACAATGCAATAGCAGCTCTGGACAACGTGTCTGAACCACAAGTACCAGGGACAGATGACCTACTGTATGGGGATGCTTCTTTACACCCAGCCAGACAAGGTGGGGATTCGAAGCAAAGAATCAAGCAGGTCAGAGATTCGGAGCATCAGGTGCTCTCAAGAAATGACAATGAACCTAAGGCCCTGTCCGAGGCACTTTCAGTCCTTTCCACCAATCAGGCTACGTCACAAGGAGAGACTCTTAAACAGGGACCAACTCAAGCAGAACCGCATACACAGGATGCGAAGCAGGCTCCAGCCTCTGAGCCAGCAACGCACAATGAGGCTCCAAACCTAAGGAAGAAAGAGATTGTTTATGCAGAGGTGCAGCCCCCTGCTGTTTCAGAGCCGGCAAGGCAAGCCACCATTCCCAAGCAGAACCCACCAGAGGGAGGTGTTCTCCTGCCAAGTGTATCACAGCCTGGCATTACAGAGCAGGCGGCGCCAGATGAAATACAGAAGTGGGTACCAATGAAGAGAGATGTGGTCCTTGCAGATGTGTGGCCACCTGCTGTTTCTGAGCAGGCACTGCTGAAGGAAAAGCCTCCAGAAATGAAAGCGCCGGAGAAGAAGACATTTGAGCAGAGAGAGCCACCAAAACAGGAGACACCACCAACTTATCTCCCTCACGAGGAAGGTGTAGAAAATGAACAAGGAGGAGCCCTTCTCAGAGCCAGCCAGCTGGGGGATACGCCCCAGGCCAAGACGCAGCCCCAAAGCACTGAGAAACCGGAGGCGACCCGGGCAGAAGAGACAAGAGGAGACAGGGATATTTTTCAACAAGAGGAGAAGCAAGTGAGCAGCGTGAAGGCGAACGAGGATGCAATCCCCAAACTGGGAGGCCAAGGGTATCAAGGTAATGTGACACCAGAGCAGCCAGGCGGAACTGCTAAAGGCACCACGGAGACCTGCACTGATCCAGACCATCTTTATAACGTGTTGTTTGTGGGGGACTCAAACGTTGGCAAAACATCGTTTCTGTACCGGTTACATGAGGATTCCTTCAACCCAAGCCTAACTGCTACTATAGGTAAGAATCCCACAGCTTCCATTAAGCATAAATACAGTCCCATAGGGACATAGGACTTGCCCTGCCAAATCAAACCAATGATGGATTAAGTCAAGCCTCTTGCCTCCAGGAATGGCCAATCATTGATGCTTGAGAGGAAGGTGAGAGACACACCTCCACATATTTAAGATGGATTTATACAGATATACCTTGAGCTTGGGCACGTTACCAGTCTCAGGCCCCAATCCTACAGTCTGATCTGTGCATGGGCTCCCATTGGGGGGAGGGATAGCTCAGGGGTTTGAGCATTGGCCTGCTAAACCCAGGACTGTGAGTTCAATCCTTGAGGAGGCCATTTAGGGAACTGGGGCAAAAATTGGGGATTGGTCCTGCTTTGAGCAGGGGGTGGGACTAGATGACCTCCTGAGGTCCCTTCCAATCCTGATATTCTATGATTCACTGGGATGCTGCAGCAGCAAGGGGCTGGCTGTGTTGACCGGACTACAGGATTGGTGATAAACATTAAATATAGCACCCAGCCCATTGTACTGTGTGTACAGGGGGGCAATGGAGCAGAAATTCTCCCTGGTCCATGCACCAGTTAGCAGAACATGCCCAACTGTTACTCTTATTAGTCATCATAAAACTAACCAGACCTTTTTAAAACCCAGCCACTATTCTGGGATTTTAAACTGAGAAGAGACTATTTTGATCATCTAGTCTAGCCATAGAGTGTCTCCCTATCACTCCTGCCCCATGTCCATATCTCACGGTTGAATTCTACCGCATTACAAATGTGCTGTGTGCCCTAGGAATGGATTATCGGGTCAAAAACCTTTTTGTGGACAACAAGTGCTTTGCTCTACGCCTGTGGGACACGGCTGGTCAAGAAAGGTAAGGCACAGTGCTGTATATACAAAAAAGAATGCGTACAGGGAAATACATGTCTTTGGAAATCCACATAAATATATGCTCACACAAGACGTTTGAAAGGATAAAGTCGAGATGAAGAATAAACATCCAAGCTCATTTGGGCAGGACTGAATTTAGGGAGACCTTTAGTCCCCAGGGCTGTCAGTAGGGCCTCTCTCATAAGTGCTGAAGGCCAAACCTAGGTACCACTCAACTCAAGGCAAATTCCTGCCGATTTCAGACAGGCCAGGATTTTACCCTAAATTCACTAATATATGTGTGTATTTACTACATATGCATATATGTGTGCATTGTGTATATCTACTTTGTGGGTATATGTATTTGTAAACATATACACACAATAAGAAGTGTGTGTATTTACTCTGTATATATATGTATATACATAGACACATACATAATATGTGTATGTATTCTGTGTGTTTATATGTATATGGGATAAGTATTTACTCTGTGTGTGTATATGGTATACACACAATATAATGTGTGTTTATTTACTCTGTGTGTATGTATATACACATACACACATACTTATAATCACCTGTTATCTATCTATAAACACATCCACTTGCGCACACAGTTAAGGCTCTGCAAAACTATAATAAATTTTGAAACTTATCTCTGCTGAAGCTTTGCAAACCCCGCCCCCCTCCCATATTCTCCCCCAGTTTCACTTGTCTGTCAAACTTTGCAAAATGGTGTCTTTGCTTCACACCATTGCAGAAGGGAATATTTGCATATTTTTGCATATTTGAATTTTCAGTTTTGTTACCATGGTTTTGCACAACCCCTACCTGAAACACGCTTTGTATGTACTTGGGTTTTTTTTTTTAAACCTCTGGATTGCTGTTAAAAATGATGCAAAAAGAGTATGTACATAAGTGTAAAAAGCAAAAGTGCTTTCTGACAGGTACCATAGCATCACCAAGCAGTTCTTCCGAAAAGCTGACGGAGTGGTGTTGATGTATGATGTCACTTCAGAATACTCCTTCGCGGACGTGCGGTACTGGCTGAGTTGTATCCAGGTAGGTATAATGGGTGAAATCCTGGCTCCACTGAAGGTAATGCCTCAGTTTCCCGCTGTTCAACGGGAGAGGGAGGGTTGTGAGGCTAAATTAATTAGTGCAAGAGGCTCTGAGATCTTTAAATGCTATATTCTTCAAAAGAAACACGTAGTCATTTTAGAAGACAAGGCCAAATTCTGCCCTGACCTAAACCTCATCAACTGTACTCAGCCAGGCCACTTGGGGGCAGAAACAGGGCAGAATTGGGCCACCTATATTTTATTAATCATGTTTAGGATGAATATATTGGTCCAAGTAAATAGTCAAGAGAGGAACAAGGGCATTGGTACTGGAGCTATTCGTTTTTTGAAAAAGACATAAGCAACCCATGTACTTGATGAAAAATGCCATGAAGTTTTACCAGCCCTCAGTATCATTACCAAGACAGATTCACCCATGATATAATCCCCATCAAACATACTGGAACGACATAAGGAATGAATTTGACCTATGTCTTATGCTAAGCTAGGAATGTGGATGGAAGAAACATTTGTGAATGTCATTGTATGCAGCTGTATCCAGCCAGATCCTCAGATGGTTTAAATTGGTGTAACTCCATTAAGTCACTGATTTACATTAGTCTGCATCTGGCCACATGAGGTTTGGGATTTGCTGTAGCAAGTAACTGAAGGGTGGTAGGGTCTTTCTTTGCTGTCATAATAATACTAGCTCTTATATAGCACTTTTCATCCACAGATGACAAAGTGCTTTACATAGGAAGTCAGTATTATTATCCCCATTTTACAGATGAGGAAACTGAGGCACAGAGAGGGGAAAAGGTCACCCAGCAGGCCAGAGCCTGGAATAGAACCCAGGTCTCTTGAGTCTCAGTACAGAGCTCTAGCCACTAAGCGAAACTGTTACATCAATATGGGCCAAATTTTGCCCTTGACCACACACCCACAGTTCCCACTGAAGTCAGCTGCAGGCACCTACATAAATATGAGGGCCAAATTGGCCTTATCTCTTATGGAGATGATGCAGTGGCTGCCAAGATGGGTGCTTTAAGAATTCCCTGTAGAACTACATCACTAACACCCTTATTCTTGTGTAGGGAAAAGTCTCATGGGTTCTTTAATAACCATGAACGGTCACAGCCTTGATTTTGCATCTCATACATGCGCTGGCTATAATTGGAGCAGGTGGAAGCTTTTCAGATTTTTTTTTTTTTAATTGGCCACTGGCATTGGCCACTGTTTAAGACAGGATACTGGGAGCTTTGGTCTGACCCAGTGTGGCTGTTCTTATGTTAATTAATAGCATTTATTCTATCATTAATTTATTTATTTTGCAATACAAGTTCATTTTTCCATATTTTGCACAATATTTTCCTGATGTTGTTTACTGAAAACATTGTCAAAATGGCTGTCAAGTCTTTTTTGTTTTGATTTGGGGGAACTGAAGGATTCTGAAAATGATTTCCGTAGTGATTTTTTATTTAAAAAACCTCAAAAAAAAATTTTTTTTAAAAAAGAAAATGGATCAGCTTTGAACCCTGAGGAATGGAAACAAAGGCAGTTTTTTCGTTAAATTTTTTAATTAATTTTTCAACCTAACTCTGGGGTCGGCTGAAACTATTGCAACAAACTTCCAAGGGAAGTGGCGGATTCTCCGTCTCTCCGTGGCTTCAAATCAAGACCAGATGCCTTTCTGGAAGAGAGGCTCTATCATGTAAACCCAGACCCCGATGGACCAAATCCATGCCGGTCAGTGGGGTTAGGCTAGTCTTTGCCCTGATGTGTTCAGAAGCTGTGTAGGGTTATGATTTGAAGAAACTGCAGATCCCATTATGGTCAATGGCAAAACTCCCACTGACTTCACTGGGGCCAGGATTTCACCCCACCTGTCCTGCTTCACAGGAAGGAGCAGGAGATGGAATTGTCATCCTTCTACTTGGTAACAAATCAGACTGTGCAGCAGAAAGACAGGTATCTACTGAAGAGGGTGGACGCTTGGCTAAGGTATGTGCACAGATCTATTGGAGTTTGCCATCAGTTTAAATTCTTTCACCATCCTTAGTTGGGAGGCGGTTTAAAAGAATAAAGCAAAACCAAGACTTTAATTAAGCCATGATGACTGACAGGATAGGCATTTCCTTCCATTAACGACTGGCATGGGAGTTGACGACCTGAGGCAAAGCAAAAGCCCCGAACTCGTCGGCTGGTCATTAATTGCCAGGAAATGACCACAGAACCATATTTTGCTTTCTTGCACCCGCCCGCTCCTTGTGTTTTTTGTCTTCTCCTGCTGGCCTTGTTTTAACTCAGACTGTGATCCGGCAAGCTATTCCCTGGCCGTCCTGCACTGAACTCCAGCAGAACAGGTTACAGGATCAGGGCCTCAGGCTGTAAGGTTTTTGAGGCAGGGAATCTGGCTCAGATCCTCAAAGGTATTTAGGTGTGTATTTTCCATTGATTTCAGTGGGAGTTAGGCTCCTGCATTGAAGATCTGGGCCTATCTGTACCGTAACATGCAGGCACCTCTCCAGCACTATGTAAATAATAAAAGCATCAAGCAATTACTGACTCATCCCTTTTGAAAGATGCTTTATGTGTCCAAGCACTGATTCTTATAATGGTCTGTTAGACAGACAAGTATCGTCCTCCCCATTTTACAGAACCCAGGACAGAGAGAGATGAAGTGACTTCCCCAAGGACACACGGCAAGTCACTAGCAGAGCCAGAAAGAGAACATTCTAGCTGCCAACTCTGTGTTCAATCCACTAGGCAATGCTGCCTCTGTGTATGTCTACAGCATGCCAGGATTTCCCTTGCTGTTAAAGACTAGCACTGGATTTCATTCTCAACATTCCTATAACTTAATAATTACAATGCACAATTTTATTCACATATGAATTCTGTGCCTTAGCAGCAAGGACACACTCTGGGCTATGCATTTCCAACAGATCACCACCTTTCCTTGCGTAATTAGTCCCTCGTGCTTTGTTTTCCCAATCCTAAACAAACCATGATATCATTGCTCCAAATGCACCAACTCCCCCATCTTTTGTTGTTTGAGGATTATCTGGGAAAAATCACAACACTTGTGCTCGACCTGTTTTAAATCTATGCAGTCTATGGCTTGAACCTACCAAACAGTTCTGGAAGGGACTGCATTTGTGTGTGCCCTCTTGTGTCTTCCAGGAGTGTGAGCTCTTGTTTTATGAATGCAGTGCCGCGTCAGGCCACAAAGTCTCCGAATCCATGATTGACTTAGCCAGGTGAGCAGTGTGCCGTGGGATTGTTGACTGTCCTGAATTAATGGCTTGGGTCCCGATTTCCACTGCTCTTCTTCAGCTTTGCATGCTGACATGACCCCTGCAGCTGAAAGCTGTATATCTCCGTGCTCCATAGATAATGTACGCAGTTCCTATGTGCCCATCCAGGGCCTGTCCAAACTGGAGCTACACCAGTTTACCACAGCTGAGGATCCAGCCACAGGTGCAAAGATCAGAGTCTTGTTCTAGCTGAGACAGGTTCTTATACTGTGCAGTATCAGAGCACTTTCCAGTCATGTATTAAGCAACGTGACTAACATCAGTCACTTGTTTGTTCTCTCATCCTCTCCCCAAGCAGAAAAGCACGTGCAGTGGCGTGGCTTGTTTTGGCAGGGGGAGTTGTTTTTTCCTTAAGTATATATGTTGATCTGTGTTTATGTTGGAGAAGACAAACTCAGAGAAGTCCACCTTGCACTTGGTGTGGAAGGTAGCGAGGTTTGTGATGGTATTTAGTTCATAGGGGAGTTCATTCCACCCTCCTGGCCCACCCTCTGATAAAGTTTCGTCTCCCACATAAATGGCCCTAAATGGATTCTTCACTGCAATGTCAGGATGCACCTCAAACATTCAGCCCTGTAAAAGTGGGTTAAAAAAACCATCAGGAGTATGTTTTTGTGCCTAGAACAGATTGTTGGAAGGAAGAATGGAAAAGGGCATACCAGGCCCAGATCCACTTACACTTTATGTTCCCCCACTAAAAACATTGAATGTGACTTCCAGATGCTGCCAATCCAATCCCTTCTCCCAATCACAGAATAACACAACCTGAGGGCACCAAGGACCTTAGCTATTTCTCCTTCTCCTGGGGTGCTGTGCAGATAGTAGGTAGCATCATTCTACCTGCTGTTTTTTTTCTTTGTTTTATTCATATCTGATGTAATGGCTAAACCACACAAAACTAATTAACAGATCAGACACACTGTCAACCGAGTGAACCGCAAAACTGACAATGCTTACCATACTTAATGCCCATATCCAAATAAAGACAAATTTTTATACAATACTTAGCACTTCCAGGGTGTTTTATAACCCAATTCATCCTTACAACATTGTTGTGAGGTAGGTTATGTTTTTTTTTTAGATAGATATTTACTGTTTTGCCTGGAGACCGCTCGCAACCTGGGCTCCAGTCCTCAGGATGTTGCTTAACTCCCCTATGGGTTGACTGACGTAAGCAGGTTTGTTTTGACTGTGGCTTGATTGAGGTTGGAATTTTCAATGGAGCCTAAAGGAATAGGTGCTCAAATTCCATTGAATTGCTGTGGGAGTTAGGCATGCAACTCTTTACAGACCCTTTGAACACCCCAGCCCTACCCTGTACTGGAGCTTTCCACCACAGATGATGATGTAGATTCCAAACAGCAGGGCAATTACCTGGCTAATTTGTTTCATGTTTATCCTGCCAGGTCACTGAAAACTCACGAAGACAGATTAAAAGCTGAGGTGGTGGAGGTACCAGTGCCACCGAAGAAGAAAAGAGGTTGTTGCAGATGATTAAGAAACTCGGTGCTTTGATTAAAATATACAGCCTTGAAAGCATAAAAATGGCCCTCTCTTAACCTTCATCTCTGCTCCTCAGGTCTGACTCGACAGATTCCCCTTCAGCGTTGCAGAACAAACGCCGTTATGAGGGCGTGAGTTGCAATCTGTCTCATTCGTAGCAAATCTGTTTCTCTGATTGCCTATCCCCACAGTGTGTCTGGGCCTACAACATGAGTGGGCAAACGTTATTTCTTTCACTCAGAGATCAGACCTGTGCTCCTCCACTGCTGCCACCGATGCAAGAAGCGGAAAGAGCCCCGGTGGATTTTCAGATCTCAGAGTGAGTTTTGCAGCCAGCAGACAGAAAAATCCTCTCGGAGGGTGACATTCACTCTTGAGCAGGGGGCCTGCGCAAGGCCTATGAATGTATTGCAGGAGATCTCACAATTGGGTTTAAGTGGTGCAGGCACCTCTGCACAGTGGTGAATTTCACTCAGAATGTGTAAACTGAGAAAATCTGATCCAGATTCAATTCAGAAAGAATACACAATATGCCTCAATCTCATTTTTACAGTCATTTTTCCGATTGCACTTTATAAAGTATGTCCTCAGTTTGAAGTGTCTTCCTGTTTATAATATCTAGCTTTGCCCCTGCCTACGTCTCATATTGTACTACACCAGCAGTCAATAAAGGATCCCTACAAAAATGGCTACTAAAATTGTGATTAAAAAAACCAACGGAGGGTAGTTTGAGCAATGGAACAACCTCCAGGGTAATGGCTTGTTGCAGTAGAACAGAGGTTCTCAAACTGTGGTCCGCAGACCACCAGTGGTCTGCGAGCTCCATTCAGGTGGTCCACAGATAGTTCCCTCTAAGGTACATGCCTGGGTAGCCGTACACAAGAGAATGAAGGGCCACCCACGTAATTAGTGGAGCCGGGCAGGGGTGGCTACACTAATTAGGTGCCTGGACCCTGGAGAAGACGCACATGTAAGGTGAGGTGGTGGCCTTGGGAGGAATAAGGCGTAGGTGGGAGGGGGCAGTGGGGTGAGAAGGGGGGAGGGAATTTGGGATGTGCAGGGCGGCACTGGCCAGAGAAAGAGGTGACTTTCCCCAGCTCCAGGGCTGTGGCTGCCAGGGGAGAGACCCCCCTCCTTCCCAGCCCCAGCTTAGTGGCTGCTGCAGCGGGGGAGACCTCCGCTCCTTCCCAGCCCCAGCTTGGGGACTGCCGCAGCAGGGGAGAGAGGGCACATCCACCACATTAGAAAGGTAAGACTACTGGTATTAAAATATGAGTTGTGTGCTTTTATTTGTAGAACAAAAAAAGTTTATTATTATTATGTTTTTTTTTAATATAGTGCTTTTATCCAAAGCACTTTACAATAGTTAGCTAACGGTACAAACAATATTTGGAAAGATCATTAAGTGGTCCACCGAGACCCTCGGCAATTTTCAAGTGGTCCGCGAAAAAGGCAGTTTGAGAACCACTGCCTTAGAACAATTCTGGGTATAGGGAAAGCAAGGTTTTGCAAGCTTTTTACAAATGCAATTGCTTTTTTTTTTTTAAGTGCATTTTGTGCTTATTAACTTGGGAGTGACACAAGCACCAGAAATATTAGTATTCCGGTTTAAATTACAATTTAATCTACAATTATCATGTAGATAATTGTGCTTTTGAGAGCTAAGGATGCAAACAGTTAAGGACCAGATCCTAGCTCAGAATCATGTGCCTACATACCTTTGCAGATCTGGGTCTAAGTGTATAAGAGCTAAGTGTTATTGTAGAGCAGCGTTAAATATTGCTGGGGGATTTGTGTAACCTCTAGCACTTCAGTGGGATTTATTTAAATATTTTTGTTTAAAAATCTCAGTGTATCAGACTTGGAGACAATAGCTTGGATGGGTTTGGGGCCAATTATTATCATCATCAGTGTTATTTAACATTTATATCCCAGAGGCCTCAGCCAGGTCAGGGCCCCCATTTTGCCAGGTGCTGTCCAAACGTAGAGACATGATGAGTCTCTACACTATAAATAAAAGTGTATTTTAACTTATTTATGGTTCTGCTTCTTTTTTATTTGTGTGTGTTATTCATAATGCTATCACACAAATTGGTGATGTCAGTTCTGTGCAAAGCTACTGAAATGTAGTGAAGGGAGCTGGGGCTCTTTCACAGAAAGGCAGAGGGTGTTTAGGGATCTAACAGAATGGAATTGTCCATTTGTTGCTTACAGTTGGGGAAAATGACCAATATAGTTACATTACAGGACAACTGTGAATATTCTAAGAATAGACCAAGACCAAAAAGATCTCAAAGAAAGCAAAGCTGGTTAGCAAATGGAGAGAGCCACTGATCACACATTAACAAATGGTATCAGATTGTAACCAGTGCTAGTTTGGGTAACAAAGGTTAGCCAGGTTCGGCAGGATCTTGTAATTAAGACAAAGGATCACATCTTACAATGTCAGAGCTCAGGTGTTTCAGTGTCTCACTGACCAGCTGTCTCTCTCTGTTAGCATTGCAACATTTCAAAACTCCATCTCCCCTGAATCACCAAAACACTCTGTGTATGTCAGGTTTACCTGTCTCCTGATACTTATTACAGCAAAGGGGTGAACCTCCTGCAAAGTCGTTGGCTGAATCATCTGTTTTCTCAACATTATCGAGACTTTAACAATCTCTCTTCTAATCAGAAGTTATAGCCCTCCCTTTTCCATTGTATGCACCAGTTTAAATTCATACTGAATGGAGTTGACTGTTTTCACTTCCTGTCACATACCAAATTCCTTCAATGGCTGCCTTTGAGCCCTCCGCCTGCTATTCAATTCTAACAACCTTTTATTTACATAGCTTGTCTCATCTCTGACCAAAGCGGTATATTCCTATTCCTGATTAGGTGGCACTAATCTCTACCTGCATTTGTGCTGTATCTGGGCAATTCACACTCTTTAATGGACTAACCTCGTCGCAACCTGTAAGGCAGGGCACTGCTATTAGCCCCATTGTTCAGATGTGGAACTGAGGCACAGAGAGACTAAAGCCCAGACCCTCAAAGGTATTTAGGTGCCTAATTCCTGTTGATTTCAATGGGAGCTAGATGCCTATACAACTTTGAGGATCTGAGCCCCAGGGACTTGACCAAGGTCACACAGAAAACCTGTGGCTGAGGAAGGAAAATGAGCTCAGGTACCTCAAATCCCAGGCTAATGCCCTAACTCCTTTCCTTACAGAGGCATTCTGTTGCCTTTACTGTTAATGCCAGACAACTGTCCCTTAGCCCTAATAATAAAAGGACTGTATTTTCTTAATCCAATTTACATAGTTCTTCTTCTAGGCTAGCCTCTCTTATCACACTTCACTATAAAATGATATTATTCTATCTAGTACTAGGATCAGCCTTTGGAACATATTCACTAAAGAGAGACTCTAACGGCACAGTTCCGTTCTAGCTCTGGATGCAATATTCTGGGGTCTTCAGATCCAGGTTTAATTTGGGCCAATCTGTACTATTTCTATTTTAAAAGTCCTTGAACAGTATAAACCCAAATTCATTTGAAATTCTGATCAACAATGAAAGTAACAAAATCGCTATGTCCATCAGCCAAACCAGACCGCCTGTTCACTTCATGCAGCTGTACGTAGACAAAAGCTGCCCACAAGAGGTTACTCTTACCCTAAATCTTGTTTGGATTATGTACGGAAGATGGCGCTTTTCCTGCTTCAGTCGGTCAGCAAACAGCTTTATTTGCCTACAAAAGAAGATTAAATTAGTTAAAGCTGCTTTTCCTCAGTTCTTCCATTAGATGGTAGTAAATACAACAATGCATTCCAACTGCATAATATTTGACCTGTATAAGAGATGCTGATAACCTGAATTTGGCTCAAAATGTAGATCTATAAAGCCAAACTTTTATAAAACATCATACACAGAAAAATGGTACTATTTTATCTCCAATGGCATTAATTCTGATAAAAAGAGATATTTTTAAACAAAATCCCTCCCCCTGATGTGTTAGCAAACTTTCAAAACATTGCAGCACTAAACCGGAAAGCAAAACTGAATTGTTTACAATATAAACAAAAGTCAAATTGATTTTTCATTCTCCAAGCTGACAGAAATGCAAGAAAGTTAACAACGAGCATAAGTAATGACAAGTATGTTGCATTTTAACATTTCTTTCACTTTTAAATAAGGCCTGGATCATGCAAACACGTACACATGAGTCACTGAAGTCAAAGGGACTACTCAAATAAAGTGATGCATATTGTGTTTGGAGGATCAGGGCCCATGGTCATAGTAATATCATAGGAAACGACATTTTATTTGTTTGTACTATATGATTGATTTTTTAAGCTGTGTCTCTTTAAATCTTTCAGAATTACTATAAGCACTTCACCAGTAACAGAGAAATTTTCAAAATTAAATTCCATTTCAGAGCACGACAGAATCTTAGTAAACAACCACAAACCAGCTGAGTGCCCGCAGCCATACCACTTTGCGGGCTGCTCCTAATAGCGGAGCACAACTGGACTGAACAAGCACTTAGCTCATGACACATTTTAACAACATTGTAGAAAAGTTCAAATGCACAACTATTTGGTCTCCAAAAGCCACTTCTCCAATTCTCTCTGTTTTCATCGTTTAAGGGATTATTATTTACTCTTATTGGCATATAAAATATGCACCAAATGAAGCAGAATAACTAGCACTTTTCATCTACAAATCTCACAGTGCTTTACAAAGGAGGTCAGTATCATTACGCCCACTTCACAGATGGGGAAACTGAGGCACACAGCCGTGAAATGACTTGCGCAAGAACACCCAGCAGGCCAGCAGCACAGCTGAGAATTAGAATCAAGCTTTTCTGAATGCCAGTCCAGTACCCTATCCATTGGACGCAGGGAGTCCTCTGCTTTCTCCGTAAGCTACAGTTTAAAAAGGGGAAAATTAAAAACCGATAAAACGAAATACTTTCTCATTGCCACCGGAAGTCATTGAGACCAGTCTCTGTACAGAAACACAGAGTCTGTACTGGTCAGATGCCCCCACATAGTATTAACGGGCACTGCCCTGCTTGGCTTTCCCATGTGTTTGAATGATGTCAACATTTTAGATTTGTTCATTCTTCAACTCTTGAAACAAGTGTCTTATCCGCCTGTGAAATGGGTGGACTGCCGGTGATGAAGGTATTCCACAAACATTGTTAACTATTGAGGACGATGGAAAGAATTTTACCCAGGAAAGAATTTTCTGTAGTATCTGGCTGGTGAATCTTGTCCATATGCTCAGGGTTTAGTTGATCGCCATATTTGGGGTCGGGAAGGAATTTTCCTCCAGGGCAGATTGGAAGAGGCCCTGGAGGTTTTTCACCTTCCTCTGTAGCATGGGGCACGGGTCACTTGCTGGAGGATTCTCTGCTCCTTGAAGTCTTTAAACCATGATTTGAGGACTTCAATAGCTCAGACATAGGTGAGAGGTTTTTCGCAGGAGTGGGTGGGTGAGATTCTGTGGCCTGAGTGGTGCAGGAGGTCAGACTAGATGATCATAATGGTCCCTTCTGACCTTAGTATCTATGAATCTGTGATGTTTACTATCGACCATAAGCACATCACAACAGGGACTGGTCCTGTATAATCTGTCCGGTGCCTTGTACAGTTTGGGCACGACTGAACATAAAAATGAGGAGGGGGCTTACTTTTCATACGGCACTGCCAGCAGAGAGGTGCAAAAGCTGACTAACGAAGCAAGCGACTGCTCAGTTTCACTCAGCGTAATGTACTGCCACGGGCCAGAAGCAACAGACACTGGCCCCACTCCTGTTAACTGTATGTAGCCAACGAGGTAACAGCTTTAAGCAGCGGAAGCCAGATGCTACGGAGGGAGACGGTGCGTGGACAAAGCCAAGGCACAGGAGGAAAGTGGGTGAGGCTGTAGGGTGACTGTGGACATGTTGACAAAGCTGTGGACGACTCTTGGCAAAGGAAGGTAGGCCCTGCAAGGGCACTTAGAGCAAAACAGGGAGTGCTGTGGGTGGCCAAGGCAGCTGGGCAGCACCTGGATGGGGGGCGCTGTGGGTGGCAGAGCAGCAGGGGGGCTGGAACAATAGTGGGGGGGGGGGCTGAGAGCCATTGAACCAAACCCACAACCCTGTAGATCACGGAAACCGCGTCAAGCCCGGGGGTGCGGTAGCAGCCCCGCAGAGCAGACAGGTGGGAGACGGGTGGGTGACAGGGCAACTGGCAAGGGGGTGGGCAGCGCAGCGAGTGGCTGGCAGAGGGTGGGTGGCTGTGGGTGGCCGGGCAGGGGGTGGGGAGGCCGCGGGGCGGGTGAGACGTGGTGGAGGTGAGGCCGGGGGTGGTGTGGGGCGGGGCAGAGGGGCACGGCGGGACGGGGTGCAGCGCATAGGGGCAGAAGGCGCAGTAGGGCGAGGGGTGCAGTGGGGCAGAGGGCGCGGTGGGGAAGGGGTGTCGCGGGGCGCGGTGCAGTGGGGCGAGAGGGGGCAGTGGGGCGAGGGCCTGGGTGTGGTAGGGGTGGGACTGAGGGGCGCGGGGGGGGGCGCTGGGGCGACGCAGGGGTCGGGGCCAGCAGTGGGGCCAGGACAAGTGCGGCGTGGTGGGGGCGGGGCAGAGGCCGGGAGGCGCGGCGGGGGCGGGGCTGAGGGCGCAGTGGGGGCGGGGCCCTGGGGGCCGGGGGGCGGGGCCATGGCGGGCAGGGGGCGGGGTAGCCTTGGCGGCGCTGCGCAGCTCCTCGCGCCCGAGTCCCGGCCAATCGGCGGCCTCGGCAGCAGGAAGCAGGAAGCGCTGGGCGGGTCCCCCCAGCCGGGCGGAGGCAGGAGCACCCGGGCCTGAGCGTGGATGGGGTGAGGGGTCACGGGGCCATGGGGGGCAGAAGGGGAGCGCCCCGGGCGGGGTCAGGAGGCAGAGGGGCAGGATGGGGCAGAGGGGAGGGGTACGGGGCAGGAGGGGGAAGGGGCAGAGGGGAGGGGTACGGGGCAGGAGGGGGGGGGAGAGGGGGGGGTACTGGGGGGGGGGGGGGGGGGGGGGGGGGGGGGG